GGGTTGCCTATTAGAGAAAACATGCAATACGTAAAGATCAAAGTGAAGAGGAAGAGACATGGCAGCTTTTCCAAGGTTGTCCACCCTCCACACATGTATGCCTTCAACCTAGAAACTTGGTAATTGTTGCTTTGTGACCTTTTTGTTTGGTTGTAGTATTATGTGAGACATATACTTTCTTTTTTTCTCTTCTGTCTCTATAGTTCGATTGTTCTGCTTCTTAAAGTAATGTGTTTTTTGCGATATGTCATCGAGTGCTTGCTTGGTACTAGGCTCGAATATTTCTTGCATAGGAACTGGATTTTTCTACTTGATAATTCAAAATCTTAGTTTGAATGTTTGTTACTTGGCACAACATGAATCTATTTGATAATTCAAGAATTTGCGCTATTGTTCTCGCTACGCGGTTAGACCAATGAGATTTCTTTTACTAGGGACTCTCAAAGTTGAGCATGTATGCAAAATATTTGATGTTTTGCTTTAGTGAAAATTACTCAAACTTTGACAAAACTAACAATAAATTATTGTTTGATTTGTGTGTAAAAATGTTGGATGTTAAAAAAAAAGAAAAGAAAAGGAACATTATGGTCTTGCTTTGGGAGGAATCATTTGTCAGTTTTGTATGTTGAACAGTCATAGAGAGTATCATGTTTGATCATAAATTTTTCAACTTGGTCATGTTCGTAAATGGTTGCGTATAAGTAGGATTGTAGTGTGATGGTTAGTCTAGCATGTACGATATGATTTTGGAATGTATAAATTGTTTTCAAAGGTCAAACATTTTTTTGGGTCAGGAAGCTCTGTCAATTTTTTTTTTTGAAAATTAGTAGGTCCAAATTGATTTTAAAAGCAGTTTGTTAAAAGAAAAAAAATACATTGCAATTAAAAATATTTATGTTTAACCATCAGTGCTTTATTTTTTTAATTACACAGTGCCTTCAGGCACAGATTATTGCTAGTATATATATATACAAGGCCATCTCCATTCCTTATCCAAATTTAAAATAAAGTAAAAAGGGATTAAAAATAAACTTCCATCTTTGACTCAAACCTACACCAAATAAAAGAGACTTAACTTTTTACTCAAATCATAATAGGCTTAAATATTTACCCAAATTTTCAATGGTCGGATTTCAATTTTTTTTTAAATTCAACGACCATATTTCAACTTTCTATTAAGTTTAAGTTTGCCCTACTTTAAATATGAATTTGACCTTCTTTAAATTTGAGTTTGAATTTTTTTTTATTCTTGAGTGTTTTGTATCAAATCAAACTCAATTTTTTACTCAAATTTGAGTTTAAGTTTGGGTCCATATCGGAGATGTGCGTACCCAGTAAACAAAGTTCCCACCATTACGAGATTGGAGAGGGTTAGATATAAGTATCTTACATGAATTACAAGACATTAGAGTAGTATTCGTACCTCTTGGCTCGCTTTGGATCCATAGACCACAACTCAGCGAGCTTATCAGGGGCCATAGCTTTCTTAGCCTCAATACTCTCACTGAACAGACTCGAACTATCAACCGAATTACTGTGCCGATGCCGAGGCCTCATCATATTTTGCTCTCTCCTCCCTACTCTCCGCCGCTACTCCACCACAATTAATAGTACCACCTCCGCCAACGGCATTGTCCGAAACGCCATCGTTCAAGTTGGATCCGAGCTTTTCAATGTCCATGTAAGTAGAGAATAGATCGTCCTCCGATCCGATCTCGTCAAAACTCCCCGAAACCGCATCGAAAGGGTCCGATACCAGATCTAAATCCTCCGGTAGCCGGAAATTTACCTCCGACTGGGCTCGCCGGTGGTGACTCGACCTGAACGACGCCGTTCGATTTGTTCGCTTGGGCGTTTGGATTTGATGGATCCTGCATTTCAGTTTGTGCCTCTGTGTGTGTGAGAGATAATTGTTCTATGCCGGCGGTCTGAGTTAGCTTTCGTTATGTCGGAGAGAGAGTGAAGAGTGTTTGAGGGACTTGTAATCAACTGTTTTTGGACATTTTGACGAGGAAGTTTTGTCGGGTGGGGTTTGAAATTGGGTTAATCTCATTTTCTATCCTAAAAGATCGTTCGAATCTCAATTTAAACTCTCAAAGATTAAAAATTTTAATTTATAATTTATACCCTCAAATAGAAATTTTGTATCAATATGCACCTCTAAATATCAAAAATCTCAATTTATACCCTCAAAGATAGAAATTTATATCAAGATGCACCCCAAAGATAAAAAATCTCAATTTGCACCCTCAAAGATAGAAATTTGTATTAATGTGCACCTAAAACTAAATTGATAAATTATACCTAGATCCCCTCATACTTGTCACTTTAATTATTTAGAACTCTTCACATTTAGAATATTACTCCTACATCTTATGACATTTGTGCACGTATAACACGTAACCCATTTTTACTAATATCTATTAATATAACCGTTAAAAAATATAATTTTATCCTAATATAAAATTATAATTTCATATTACCATTTATTTTATGGGTTCAATATATTCTAAAGTTCAAAATCTAGTTTACCATTTGAATGTCTAATAAAATGTAAATATTTATATAATATTTTTTATATTACTTTTTATATAAAAATCTACATTTTATTAGACATTCAAATGGTAATCTTGATTTGCAACTTTAGAGTATATCGAATCCACAAAATAAAAGGCAATATAAATTATAATTTTTTATTATGATAAAATCATATTTTTTAACGATTATATTAATAGATATCAACGAAAAGTAGTTATGTGTTACATATGCACAAACGTCATGAAATGTAAGGGGAATATTGTAAATGTGAAGGAGTTCAAATGATTAAGTGACAAACATGAGGGGATCTAAGTATAATTATCAATTTAATTTTAGGTGCACATTGATACAAATTTTTATCTTTGAGGGTACAAATTGATTGGGGGTGCAAATTGAGATTTGAACAATTTTTTAGGTTACAAAATGAGATTAACCCTATTCTAAATGTGAAGAGGTCTAAATGATTAAGTGACAAGTATGAGGGGATCTAGACATAATTTATCAATTTAATTTTAGGTGCACATTGATACAAATTTCTATTTTTGAGGGTGTAAATTTAGATTTTTTATCTTTGGGGTGCACATTGATATAAATTTCTATTTTTGATCTTTGGGGTGCACATTGATACAAATTTTTATCTTTGAGGGTATAAATTAAAATTTTTGATCTTTGAAGGTACAAATTAAAATTCGAACAATCTTTCGGAGTACAAAATAAGATTAACCCTTTAAAATTTGATATACGTACTGCGTGGACTTTGGGTCCAATCCATGGGGCTTGAATGGACTCGGGTCCATAATTACTAAATGTTTGGTAATAGACCACCAATTTGTGGGTTGGACTCTGACCCCAATGCTAAAGCCGGTTGGAGGGATAAAATGTTGGGATTAGATTTAGGGAAATGTTATTTGTATATAATTTAGTAATTTTATTTGGTGACATGATGAATCATAGTCATTGAATTTGTAGCGAGTCTCAATTATTAATGGAGTCCAATGTCAATTTAATGGTAGAAAATAATAAAATTATCAAATAAAGTTGCTAAATACGGTCTATGTGGCATTATTCTAAGAGTAAAATATACTGGAGGAAAATATTTCTTACCAAAAGCTTCAACATTATTTCCACACTACAGCTTTAGGTGCTGCTCGGTAGCATTACTCTAGGAAATTTACATGCGCTCGGTAGCTTTCCACCAATGTTGAGCGTCTTACATAAGCATAAAAGTAGCCAACGTCACATTTTTTCTCAGTCTTTATAATTAATTTTGAGAATATTTAATTAGTGACCGTTAGATTGCGATATAACAACGATCTACATAAAAAGTAGCCGAATTCTCACATCCAAATGCCAATTCCAGTGAACTAGGCACGCCCAGATGGTTAATCCTTGCACCCAAACATGATTTTTAGAAGCTATGGTTGGAATCATAAATCACCATAAATCACACCATCCACACGAAGGCAGCGAGAAAGGAGGACACTGCCCCCAAAAGGTGTGAAAATAAACGACTTGCTCATCACTAGGATCGATGGAACTGTTGAAAAATGCCTTGAGGTGCAAAGAAAAGTAGAGACATTCAGAGAAAGGTAAAAAAAAAAGATTGGAGTTCACATTTTTCAACATTGAGAAAGTTTTTTAGGAAAAAAATTAAGGAACTTAATTTGAATTGAAAATTCAATTAGTTTGATTAAGGAGTTGATTGAATCCTAATTTCACTCACCAAAATATTGAATTAAGCCCAATTCACTATTAGAATTAATATTGTTGTGGTGGTTTGGAAAGTAATTAATTTCGATATGCTAGTTTGGATAGTGAAATGAGTTAATTTGATTTTTTTTCCCTCCTTGTATCAATCTAATCATAGCATATTACATGTTCCATTATCCAATTGTATGGTTTATAAAAACAAAATAGCATAAATTTTTCATTATTAAAGTATGATATGCAACTCAAAAATTTTCTTGAGAAATTATAACACTACACAAAATTTTGTATCTGTTTGTATAAACCTCTACAATATTTCAAAGTTTTGGTATTCTACAACTTTTTGCATAGACTCTACAATATTTTAAAGTTTCGAGATATTTTACAATTTTTTGCATAAACTCTACAATTTTTCAAAGTTTTGATATTTTACAACTTTTTGCTTAAACTCTACAACATTTTAGAGTTTCGATTGGGCCGATTCATGTGCAATGTCACACCAACCAAGTCATGCATAATATGTGGTCCTACTACATAAATATCATTGCAATTTAAGGTCTAATATATTCCTATCTTAACATACACCAAGTATTTTCTTTTTTGTATGGTAGTGTATAATAAAGAACAACAACGAAATGGAGAATGGCATCAAAATGGAGAATAAATTAAAAACAACAATAAATAGAGAATAAAATAGAGAATGATTACAGAGTAGCAAATGTGAGTGAAAATAAGGAAAATGAGCGACATATGATATGATGGGGAGGAAGAGAAAGGGATGAGCATGCGAGTTAATGGATATTGTAACATTTGTATCAAGGATTATGACAAAAAAAGTTAAGGAACACCATGACTCTAATATTTAAAAATAGGGAAGAATTATCTGAACATCGCGAGAGGCGTTATCATTGAGATGCATAGCAAGTGAGTTCAATGACTAGACGATGGTAATCTGATTTTTATATTTTTTTAGTACATATTTTATCTATTTATGTTTTTAGTGCACTTTTTCATAAATATGAATTATATTTAGCTAGAGTTTGTAATACATATAAAAGGTTGTCCAACAACACAAATTGGATCCTAAAGTGAGATTTTCACATGAGGCTACTATTAATATTGAGGATGATAATATGAAATATATTGTATAATTATTACATATTTTAAAGAGAGTTGCAATGCAATTTAATTTCAACCTTTTAATGGTTTTTGATGATGCACCAAAGTGAATTTCTGTACCACCTGTCGAGTAATTAATATAAGTAATAAATGCAGTAAATATAACGATGAGATCCAAGAAAGCAACACAGATATAGAGTGGTTTGATAGGTGAGAGAGAAAGTGAGTAAAAGCAAGCTCAAGGCGTGGTGTACAAGAGATAGCTATGTGATCATGTGTAGAGGCCTTACAATTTATAGGCACAGAGCCTTAGTTGAGGCGGTGACATGAAGGATATGTGGCTAATCTATGGGAGAGGATAGCAACAATTGGGGTTGAGAGTATTTTACATATCCATACGATTGAGTCATTGGGTTTCCGAAATAGTGTAAAAAGAAGTGCTTCGAATCATTGCTATTTGACTCGGACCTGTTCTAAAAAAGTCGAGGTATTTCGAATTGTTTGTTGACACGGACAAAGTCAGGGAAAACCTCTGAAATTATTTCAATATTGAACCTTGGACATATAATAGTTTCGAATCGAATCTCTTTAGAAAGAAGATCGTTTGTCTCATGGTAGCCTGCTCCAGTCCCCTTACGAAACTTTCGTTATTGGGTTAGCCATACACTTCACATGTTTCTAGCGATTCACATGGCATCATCAAATGATACAAGTCCAGTTTTGAGATCAAAAAGAATCAGAAAGGGGTGCACAATATGAAATCACGATCATATAGATGAATAAATGATTAAAGTTTTAAAGAGAAAGATAAAGATAAAGATAAAGAAAGACTTGGGGAAAGGAGGTGAGAGTAGAGGGAAAGAAAATGAAAATTTGAGAGAAATTGCTATTTTTAAAGTTAGAAGTCTTTACTTTTTAGGTTTTTTTTTAGAATGTTAATTTATATTTTAGACTTTTTTTAAAAAGTTTATGCTACATTTAGGCATTTCTAAAAGGTTTTACGTGAACTTGTGAAATACATTGGCCTACTAAATGAAGCCCATTCAAATGAGCCTCTAAACATGGAGTTTGTGGACCTTAAAATTTTGGGGCCCTAGACGACTATATTAATGATATGGGCCTTAGGGTTGGATTTGTTGTGCCTCCTCTTATTCAAAGGATCTAAGTACGTTCACAACTCTCACTGATAAGTCTTTATTCATGGAATCAATTAGTCAATACAAAATTGATCATTGGATGACATGCATGGATTAAATGTAATGTTTGTGTTAATTCCTATTTTATGCATTTTGTTTCAATTTGTCAAAAATCTTGTTTGGATGGTTACACAAAGTAGTACTATAACTAAAATGTTCAACATTACAAGGTGATATCACATAATTTTCTTTTTTTGCTAATATAGGCATCTAATATACATCAAACGTTACATATGAGCTATCTCGAACCCATGTTATCTACCTGTAATGGTTTAATACCATAGTCCATAGGTATTCGCATATTTATTTATCTCCCTCATCTCTTGTTTGACCCATACTTCTCGAAATCTCTCAAGTTGTCCATCATGGGCAGCTCGATACACTTAAGGCCTTTGCGGCGATTGATAATTAATACATCTTATCTTTATAATATTATGAGATTTGTTCATATTCATTTATGTAATTTTAACCTAAATTTTATTTGTTATGTTGTTGTGTTTTTGTTACCAGTGGCTTATAGATTAAAAATATATATTTTTAAAATTCAAATAATTTTTAAAATTTTCTCTTGGAAACATCACTGATAAGTATGACTTTTCCTCTAAATAACTATTAAGTCCTATCATATTTACCTTAAAATAATTTAAGTCTTATTTTTGATAATTTATTCCTAAGAAATTCTAAACTCCATTAATGGTTTGTTTTGTTCCAATTTTATCCTCTATGAACTCTTTAAAATATTGTAAGACCCCATATTAAAATTTTAAATAAGGATAATATTATCTTAAGAGTTCTCCTAAGATGAATAAAATAATGGTAAAAACTTAGAATTATAGTTGAAAGATTGACTATAAAGTTTGAGTTTTGTGCGTATTTACATTGAGATAAATTGAATTTTGGAGATGTTTGGATTGAAAAGTGTGGCTAAGTAATTTTGTAAATATTTTTTGGTTAAAATAAGATTTTCATTGAATCCGAAAGGTCGAAAAACCTTGAAAGAGATAATATGGGGTGTATTAGAAATTAGGAAGTATTCTAAAGTTAAAACCTATTTTGGAGAGGATTTGGGTAAAAATAAATTTGACATTATCTTAGTATTTTGGTTATAAATTTTTACTCTGATGTCCAATTGAGTTGATTTTTGGAGACTATAAACTAGAATTTAAGGGATACAAAAGTGTATTTCATGAAAAATTCGTGAATCGGCTTCTAAATAAGCCAAAATTTATCTAAAAGTCGGGGTATACTGTCAGACGCGTCTGAACGGGAGGAACATGCCTCTGGATGCACCGGGCAGAAGTTGGATGATCTGTGTTTAGAGTTTTCTCCATTATAAATATCTAAGGAATGACCCTTATGTTTATGTTTAGCAATTATTCATCTAAAAAAACCTAAAAAGCTTGACAGGAAAAAAAAGAAGAGACACGGGGAGGATTATCGTTTCGAAATTGATTCAAACACGCTAGGGCTACCTTCAAACATCGGATTAAGGTATGAATTTTTTCCTAAACTTGTTCTTGTTTCTTTGTTTTCTTGCAAATTGTATCATGTCTTAAATGAGGTTATCGTTTGATAGCTATGAAAACTCTCGTTCTTGATATCAAAACCCTAGTTTTCAAGAAATATAGGTTTTAGCTTTAATATTTTATTGTTCTTGATTTAAAAACTCTAGTGTTTTATTTGAACAATAAAATTATATTTCTTAATGATCTCTTGCATATTTTCTTGAGTTGTTCATTTGAAAAAATACAGGTGAAATTATTGTTCTTAGTTTATTTGTGACTTGGTGAATTGGTTTGATATTGTATCTCTTGTAGATGTTTTGATGAACATAGTTGACCGTTGACCAAAAATCGTAGAGTGGGTGGTTGCGTTTCTTACTCCGAGTGGATTTGAAGATTCCCTACCACTCGTAGTAGGGTTGGTGACCTGCGAGGACCAAACTACTATTCGCTCACGGGTATCGAGGTTGAGGTCTAGTATACTATTATTGGGTTGAATTCATCATTGCCGATGCGTTGATATACGCACTTTCTAAAGTTGTATATCCTTACGAGGATTGAGTGGGTGTGTGGACCATGATATTCTCAATGAGTGTATTCATGCGAAGTCTTATTACATACTTGAGATATAGTGTTGGTAATGATTTGTTATCTGAAAGTTGGTTTTACTTCTTCATTTAATTTATTGTTATTACGTAAACTTGAAATCTGATGAACTGTCATTGTTTATTTCAAAAATCGTATATGATATTTTGAAAAATGAGACCGACTTATTTTATATATTTTCTAAACTTTGTTCGAGTTTGGGAGAATTTTCCTATAGAGCTTAGTACTCACCCCCTATAAACAACATCTTTTTCAAATTATGGTTTAGAGAAAGAGCTCGGATTTGATGAGCAAATAAACAACATCTTTTTCAAATTATGGTTTAGAGAAAGAGCTCGAATTTGATGAGCAAATACATTGGGAAGCTCAAATTGATGGAACACATAGATCCTGAGGTGGATGTTTAGAATTGTTTCCTTTATGTTCTAGATTGGAAGGTTAATTATGAGACAATGTTAAGGATAATGTTTTATTTATTCGGTTACAAGCTAATATTTAGTTTTTGGATGTAACTAACATAGTTTGACATATTTATTTTGGACGATGTTTTAATTATTATAGAGGATGAATGTAATTTATTTTAATTTATGTATTTTATTAGTTGCTCTCATGATATGAATTGTTATAGATAGTAATGCATTCTAGGGTGGATTGTTGAGTGTTACAAATATATTTTTGTTTATAATTTTATATTTACTTTTTTTTATTGGAATATGTTTTTGTATCTTAAATTAAAATCCAAGTTATACCTTTAATTATCAAACCTTCCACCCTATTGATATATAAGAGTTTATATGCGAGTGAATCCTACATCATATAAAAGTCATAATATATATACATGTTTTTATTTTATCTCTTAAATACAATGTTGTAGTTTTGAATGCTTGAATTGTTTTTTTTTATGCCTCAAAACAATAATTCTTTTCTAATTAATTCAGAATGTGGAAGGAGAAGTAAAAAAAATGTAATTAGATGAATTTTTCTCAATGATTATATTCATAGATTAGTTTTTACATTATCAATTTATATAATTATATTTCTTTATGGTTGAGATTTAATAGTTAGGCGAGTGGAATTCACATGCTTAAGAAAGTTAAATAAATAAAAGATAGAGTTAAATGATTTATTATTTCTATAAGTCTTTAGTGTTAATTAAGTGTTTCGGATTTTAAGCACTCGGTAGAAAAAAATATTCTTTGGGACACTAATAACAAATATTATTGGTAAAAATGTAATTGTTGTATTGATGTGAAGACGTATATTTAATTTGTATGGACATTTAATTATTGGAAAATTCTATGTGCACCTAAACCATGAACGGCTTAAGGTAATTTGAAGCCTAAAGCAGTAATGCTAAATGAGGTTTTTTATTTTTAGTATTATTTTTTAAAAAATAAAAATAATTTTAATTTTTTTTAAGTGAGAGAAGGACGTAATACTTTATTTTTGTTTTTTATAAGAAGAGAGAGAGAGAGAGAGAATGTGAGTAAATATGAGTTAACTTTTTAATATTTTTTTATTTGTTTTTAAAATTTTTGATTATTGAGTTTCTAATGTTATGAATTGAATTGTAAACTCAAATTATTGAAATTATAATTTTTTGATTGGACTTAAATTTTTTATGCGGACTAGTTATGTATTTAAAATTTTGGGGCCTTTCTAAAATTTAGAGTGTAAAGCCTATACTTTTTTTTAATACTGTTGGGTCGACCCTGATATAAATTTGCACCAAATCAATTACAATCATTAAATTAGTGATGAAATTCACTGATCCAACAACTTCAAGTGATTTAATGTAAATTTTGATGCACATCACGTTGCTTTCAATTATTTGCATCCTAAAGGGGCGAACCATTAACTATGTGACTTAAATAACCATATTTCATGGGCTCAAGTCCCAAATCCCATTCATTCCAATTATGTGTTTTTCAAATGTACGACTACAATGTAAACCTTAATACACCAATCACCCGGAAACTAATTGCCTCTGCTCGAACTTGGTACTTGTAGGTTAACGTCTTGTCACGTGTTTGGTCACTTAATCAACGTGTGGGTTGTACAATCACAAGCGTAATAGAGTTTTCACTTGAAAATGATTGAATTGTATTATTGAAGGTTGGTTGGAGAGCCTAGTGATTGGAGACTTTCTAGGTTGGCTTGGCTCAGAGAGCATGTGTTGGGTTAAAAGATTTTTTTTGTTGCTAAACGTTACGAGCTAAATGCTGAACTTTTGACTCTACTTGTTTGGATGGGTCTTCACCCCCAAAGGGTTCCCCATGAGGTTGATAGACCTTGTATGGAGCAGAGTCATTGTGGCCATCACTGCCTTCTTGTTGATCCTGCTGGAGCCACAGGATCACCATGAACCACTGCTTTCTTCATACACATCACACACACAGAGTTACATAAATAATCAGCCATATATCTCTCCATTGGATTTCCATGTCTCTGTCAAAGTCTCAAGAGGACAAAACATCAAACATTTTAGTTTATTCAACAGAGTCCACAGTTAGGACACTGAACTTCAAAAACACAAGAAGGTTGCAGCAATTTTTTCTTTTCAAATGACTAGGATTTGAATTGACATTTTATCATCTCAAGCAATTATTGAATTTGTTGAAGTTTAAACCAATCTGTCTTGCACATAGTGGTAAACGGGGACACGGAGAGATTACTATCTCTAATGGTCTATTTAGTAGGGTGGATAGAAAGTGAGAATGATACATTTTTTATCCTTCAAAAGAAGAATCTTTTCTTCTCTCTTTTTGTGTTTGGCAAGAGAAATAAAAAGTATGAATGATTGATTGATTTTTTTGTGTTTGGTAGGATGAAAAAAATATAATTTTTTTATTTTTTATTTTTTAAAAAAATATAAATACATAATATGTAATTAATATATATATACCAAAGGATATATAGACAAACAACATACATTTTAACACACATAATTAATTTTTCATCCACTTTTTCTAAAACCATAAACCACATGTCTAATGAATTAAAAAAAATTGACATGGTTTAGGCAACTAATTACTTTAAAATATTCTTAACCAAACCCTTATTCCAACTAAATGATAAAAATAAAAATATAGAAACCTGTAATTCGCATTCTACGTCAAACACACAAAGTAAAGTAAGATAATTTGGATATCACTTCATGAATTTCCACTTGCTCTTAAAAAGTTGTACAAAAGCATGGTGACATTTACATTTAGTCTTATCATAATATAGGTATCTAAAAGATGATCATTGAAAAAATTGAAAGAAGGGATTACTTCATCTTTCAATAATAATGAGTGCAGGATTGAGAGTAAGGATCTGGTGCTCAGAATAATCACTTTTTTTTATTGCTTAATTGTGATAAGGTACCACAATCAAAGTTCTCAAGCACCCTTTTCCTTCTACTTGGTTATAAAGTTTAATATCTGTCATGTCCTGAACATACAAGAAATGAAATCACTTGTCACATCCAAAAATACTCCAAAGTAATTTGATAATATCTCCTCCCTCATACTTCTTAAAATCATCTCTGTTTTCTATGGAAGAAGAGAGTTTCTTAAAATCACATTCCTTTCCATCTCCATCTTCGGTGAAGGTGAATATAGTTTTTCCGATCAGATCGCTTCGAGATTTTCTGAACAAAAGGTCTAATACAGCATGTTGGAAGTTCCTGCCTTGCCTTGGTGGCTGATATGATATGCTTCTTTTGATCACTTTGTCTAGTTTGAATCCTGACTAACATAACTCAAAGGGACTTCTCTAGACAGATCAAAAAGAAATGAAGAAGAAGCCCAGACTCTTGTGTTTTTCTTCTGTTCCTTCTCTCAAACATCAAAATCAGTGAAGTCTAGCCTTAAAGCTAAGATCAAAACAGCGTAAACGCGAAAAAAGGATTTTTGATTATGTAAGTGAGATGAATGTTCTAGTTTCTACATCCTTTGGGTTCGATTTTCTGTTGAATTCTCATCAGGGTGGTGGCATATACAATTTGGTATTTGATTAGAAGGCTTCAGAAGTTCTGAACCATCTGACTATTTAGGTGTTTGATAAGCAGTAAACATATAAATCTATGATGAATCTTTATCATGGTCCACAAAGGCTGCTCCTCCGTACGCCACCAGGTGCACCACCTAGTAAAGGTGGCAGAACACATAGTTCTTACAGGGGTGAGACGAATTTCGACACCAACATGGTGATTATCCTGGCAGCCTTGCTATGTGCACTTATATGTGTCCTTGGCCTAAACTCAATTGTTCGTTGTGCCATAAGATGTAGCCGGAGGTTCGTCTTTGAGAGGACGGATGAGGTGACTTCACGTCTAGCTGCAACAGGACTAAGGAAGAGACAGCTACGCCAGATTCCGGTAGCTGTTTATAGGTCAGGGACTAGTATTCCGGCCATGGATTGTCCAATTTGCCTCGGTGAATTTATGGATGGTGAGAAGGTTAGAGTTCTGCCGAAGTGTCACCATGGCTTTCATGTGAGGTGTATTGATATTTGGTTAGCTTCACACTCCTCCTGTCCAACCTGCCGGCAGTCATTGCTTGAACAGCCAACATCTTCCGATGGACCGGAGTTGGAAGTCGGATTGAGGCTGCCGGGAAATGCATCAGGAGGGCATGGTGATGTGCCAGAAGCTGTGGAAGAGATAGGTTGATCTATCAACTTGAAGATATTAGGGGGAAAAAAGGGGGAAAAAAAAAGGAGGTGAGGGTGTTTCTGAGATTATTTATTTAATTTTTTAGACCTAGTGGGTGTTTTATGTAAATATTTTACAGCAATGTGCTTCGTTGGAAACTTATATAAGTAAGTTAATTCTATGATCTGATTGAGCAAAACAGTGTTGAAACTATCTCGGGACTGTTTCTTGTGGTTTCAGTGGATTGATTCAGTCACTGGAAAACTATGAGTAGAGCGCTGTCGCCCCCCTTTTTTTCGATTCTATGTTTTTAAGAACGTTGATTGCACTTATTGAATAGGGTTCTATGGTCCGTTCTTGATCCTAGATGCCAAAACCAGTAAGAAAAAAGGATATTTGTTACATTCCATGGCGACAGAGCGAGAGTTGGGTCTTTGAAGAGAGGGGTGGTTGCCTGACAAAGGAGTAGATTTCTCTTGCTTCCCTAAATTTATAGGCAAAAACAGAGAGATTAACAGAGAAAGAAAGCTAGAAAAGAGTTATTCAACAGATGGACAGGTTTTCTTGCTTCAATTGACCCAAATGGATCATGAACATTACACTATTCTCATGGTAGTAGGAGGGTACTTGTTATTGCCAACTAAACCCACAGTTCAAGGGTCGGTTTGATATGTGGGTTGGGGGGTTTTGGATCATGGTTTAGAGAATAAAACCCAACAATCTCATATTTGATAAACGCATAGTTAATCCAGGGTTTGAAACTCAGCCTGCATTAGGTTTGAGAATTAAACCCAATTTCACGGGTTTCATGAAACCCACCGGGGGGTGGGTTTTGTATGTGAATTAATAGATTTAAGCTAATAAATGACATTTATATCCCCATATCTCATACAAGTAAACAAACATAAATTTGGATTAAATTGGTTAAAGGATACAATAGTCATTTATATACAAATAAATTATTATAATAGTCATATATCAGTGCGTATATCAAACATGAATGTGAACGACATTAAATGTTGAATCTCATTTTTGAGTTTGAAAAGGTTTTGACAAACCAATCCAAAACCCTCTCAAAAAACTAACCAAACAGCCCCAAAGGTTCTGATTCCATTGTGATCAAGAAGGAAGAGCTGCTCTATAGTGATACCAATATAGCAGTTGTTAATTTTGGCCTATCTTTTTCTGACTTGGCAAGTTTTGTTTCCGTTTCATGAATGAATTCAGAACAACAAATATCTACTTTTGGGCATTGTAAATCATATAAAATATAGTTTAACTGATATGCATAATTTACGGGTGATTACATATCTTCAAGGGCATATGCTTAACAAAATATCTTGCAAATACGGAGTACATTGTCCAATTGATGCATTTTTTTGGGGGTGGGGTTGGTGGCCCCTACAAATTATATAGGAAGAGTAGCAAATTAATGTGATTAACCATTTATTTGGATAACTCGGCAGAGATAGTGTTGGCCAAGGAGGAGATGGTTGTAGAAGAGACTCCCCTGCTTCCACCCAAATACCATTTCTTCGTCATCTCAACCACGTTTGCATTATCCACTTTGATTTTTGAGTCCTCTTTTCCCTCGGTTGTGAACACAATCTGTTCGATCAGAGCAAAATCATATACACCAATATCAATAGATATAAAAGTGGGGAAAAAAAAAACCAATGTAGGCAAATAAATTTAGAAGTCAGTTACGCCTCAATGTGATTGAGTCTCGTTTCGTGTCGAAATCGTTTCAATCGATACTTGATTTATTATAATCACGTGTATTCAAATTGGAGTCGATTCATTTATCAAGTTGGTACGACGAGCCAATATTAGAAGTGATAATTTTTGACACAAACGAAAACACAAACTCAAAATTAATATAAAATTTGTAAGTTAGAGTTGACCATTTTTTGACACGACCCGTTAACACGAATAATAAATTGATTGGTTAGTATCAAACATTAACAACATTATTAACACGTTTAAGTAGTATTTTAAGGATAAAATGTCAATTTTTTATGATATTTTATCAAGTAGTGACGTAATTATTGTAAAAAATATATATTTTTACTCATTTTTATTATTATATTTATTAATTTAGTTTTTAGTTTATTTATATTACTTATAAATGTCAATATTTGCGAAATTTTTTTGATTTTTTGTTTTATCTCTAATTATCATAATAAGGTCAATTATAGCCTCTAATATATTTTTATTTTTTACACATATTTAACTTTTAATTTGTTTTGAACTCTTTTATAAGAATTTCTAAATTCTTTCGAACTTATTTATTAGTGATATAATTATATACAGTTATCTATATCTATATAATCTATAGTCAAATATATATTATATTTTATTTTTTGGTATACAATAAAATAATAATATTATAAGAGCGATATAATCAATTTATTTAACGAAATAAAATTATTAATTCTATAATATAATGAGATGTGTAAATATTTTTTATAAAAATAATATTATTTAAATTAAACCCAAATCCAATTAATGTCGTATCAAGTTGCCAGATCGTTTTAAGAATTATAGAAAACATTTCTCAACCGGGGGAGAAGTAGTTTTGATCGTTCATTACCTCGGCAGTGGCGGAAGATGCCGGAAAAAAGAATGTAATCAGAGAATTTTTCTTGAAATATTTGGACTGGAAGAACTCGACGAGGTTCTCCAGAGCAGCTTCTTCCTCATCTTCATACTTATCAATGGCGGCCAATCGGTCCCTCACTGCACTCTCTAGCTGAACTCCATACTGTGACCCCTTGATCTCCTTAATCACCACAACTTTCAAACACTTATCCACTGGTGCTGCAAATTCAATGAAAAATGCACGAATGATCATCACACATCCAAATGAAAGAAAATAGGGGGCCAAAATATGATAGGACCGTTTTTTCGTTCATTTATGATACGATCTATTAATATGATAAAAACACAATATGAAATTAGAAGGTTTGAGTCTTTCTTAAGCCACTCATTTCTTAAACGAGTGGACTCAACACGATACAATTAATAAACGAATCGGGTATAAGTGAAATCAATCAAAAAAAAAAAATTCACGACATAACTCGTGTATATACTGGTTATACATTATTCATATACAATACGAATCCGATATGACACAATTCGTTAGACACGAATTAATAAACGAATTGAATTATGTGGAATATTTTTTGATACGAACCCGTTTCACCCGACACGATTAACAAGTCTAAAAAAAAATTGTGAGTAACCGCACCAGAGATTACTTAAAAATTGATGCTTCTTAATCTTCATATGATTTGATCTCCTTTGACAATACAATAATATCATATGCTAATTCGCTCGGACTTAAAAGGTTGCTAATTTTTTATACTAAATTACCAGAAATGAGATCCTCAAAGAAGTCATCGTCTTCTGCTAGGGCAGTCCCTGTTTTTCCCTTCCATTGCTGCAAATGGGTCACGATTTTGGGATCCAAGTAAACTCCAATGGCTGTGAACTTAATTTGGAGAAAATGTATCTCAAGGTCTGTAATTCCTGTTGCACACACCCCCTCCAATTTTGATCAGTTAGTTTAACAATTCGACTCCGACTAAAATGATTTGTCAATGGTGTAACGAACAGAGCCCAAATAACCGTCGGATGCAACATGTTACATTGAGTCGATTTGTTTTTTTAGGTGAAAAATAACGGTTTTAAAAGTTTTGCAAAATAATCAGAGTTAAAAAGTCCACCAAAAGTATTAGGGGTGTTTTTTAAAAAGTTAAAAATGTTCGTTTGAAGTGATTTTTTAATTTTTTTTTGGCTCTTTTGTGTAAAAATAACAAAAAAAAATATATGTATGTATAGATTATGCATAATATGAATTTTAATTTTTTTTATGTCACTAATAACATTTTATAAATATAATAAACTAAAAAGTTACGTAATAAAACTCTAAAGGGCCAAAAAAAAAAAACTCATAAAATTAATTTTTTGAATCGGTCTAAATAAATTTTTTTGGATCCAAAAACTTACTACAGGTAAAAAAGTCAAGATTTAAGACTTGACTTATTTTTTACCTTAAAGTCCTTAAAAGCTAACTACTTAATCTAGCGTCAAACAGACCATTGTTTGCCTAAAATTATGGGTTTTAAAACTGCGTTTATAAAGTAAAAGCGCATTTCCAAAACGCGCTTTGTAGTTAACATGCAATGTTATGGCTTACCATGACCGAGCAGAGATAATGGATTGGTTGTATCATTAACCTGAGGAGGGAAGGGAATTTCGTCGACCATCACCACTTCAGTACCCACTGCACCACAAAGTGAAATAATACCCATTATTAGAGCCATGCATTAAATTGACCGTATGGTAGAAAATACAAGCAGTTTAGGTGATCGGGTACTCGTGAAAACAACCAAAAAAACTTTGACAAACATAAAGTTCACATCCACACATGAGGAGAGAGAAAATGCTTACTATTTTGTTGCTGGGATGAAGAAGAAGAAACAAGAGATTTGAGAAGAGACAGAATAAATAAGGGAACTGAAGGTGTAATGGATATTTAAAGCCTTCTTTCTGTGACACTCTAGGAGGGGGTTGTGGGTTATTTATCTACCCCTCTCTCTCTCTCTCTCTCTCTCTCTCTCTCTCTCTCTGTCCTTCAGCATTGGCGTAGTAGGTAGGAAGCTAAAGAGTGGAGAGTAAGTTGAGAAGCTTGTGATTTACCTCATTACTTTTCTTCCATGTGGTCCATCGCATAACAACCACTTGTTTCAACAAACCTTTTGGATCTTTCTGGGTCCAAAAGGACCTAGCCAACATGAATGACTCCTAAGTCGATCAGTTGGTACATAAGATCGGTTTTGTATCCGTAGTGATCTAATGGTTATCAGAATTGAATCGGACATCAAATTGACAAAAAGATTAGATCCATAATTCACTAGTTTAATTGTTGGATTAATTGGTCGGATCAACTATATAGTCAAAAATTATAAAATATAATAATTTAATATGTATTGATTGTGTGTGTATATAATTATGTGTGCGTGAATATGACTGTGTATACTATATAGTGATTGTGTGTGTGCGTGTAGAGAGAGAGAGAGAGAAAGAGGAGAGACCCAACAACATGAAGGAAGACCCAATGTTATCACGCCATTGTTCGTAACAAGGAAGGAAGACAGAGAACAGGCCTAGGGCAAAATTAATCCGTCGTCTGACCTAGGGCAAAATTAATCCACAGACAGATTTCCCATGTTGACGCGACGGCCTTCACTTCTGGCAATATTGACCGAAGGCCTGTTCTTTACTTCAAGACACGATTAACGTCAATATATAGGTGGAGAAAACGATTGTATACAAATTTGTTGGAGAAGCCCCAAGCAGGGGCGGCCCGAAGTGTTAGGAGGTCTAAAGTGATAATATCGAATGAGACGTTTTATTTTTAATATTAAAAATTAATTTATTTTTTATTTATTATATATGTGTGTGATAGAGAAAGAATTAGTGTTTTCGATGGAGTTGTTTTAACTTTTACTTTTATTTTTACCATAAGAGAGTAAATGTGAGATAAAAATAATTTGTTTTTTGAGTAAATTTTTTATCCTTTTAGTTTTTTTTTTAACTTTTGATTTTTGATTTTATAATATTATAGGTTGAATCATGAGCCCAAATTATTGAAATTAAAAATTTTGATTGAACTTAAATTTTTTGAGGCCTTTTTATAGAACTTAGAATTTTTGTAAAGTTAAATTTTCAAAATTTTGGAGGCCGATCTCCCTATGTGGATTTGTTTGGACTTAAGTCCGTTAAAAAAATTTATTTGTTATGAAGTCTGTTTTTTCTCAATTTTACCATACCATTCATTCCATTTAGAAGTGAAATAAAACTAAAAATTAAAAATTCATACATCTTAATAGTTTGATTAATATTAAAATCTTTTTTCTCTCTCATATGTTAAAATATTAACATTCAAATACAAAAAAAAAAGTAATATGCTCAAAATAATAAAAACATGAACAATAACATACTCAACAAAAACAGTAACATAAATAATAATATAATAAAAAAAATAATAACATAAAATATTCAATTCAACTAATAAAAAAAGACACAAGACACAAGGATACACGTGTGCGTACGTATCACTGAAAGCTCATAATTTAAGCTCAAGTGCATAGAATTCTATAAGGAGGTCTCGTTACATGGGTACAGAAAACTGTGGCTTCACCGGGGCCTGGAATTCTCGCCATGGATGAGTTGAACGCAACCTGTGGGAAGCGTCGGGCCTCGATCGGGCTCGAGAACACCGAGGCTAACCGTCAGGCTTAGCGAACACTCCTCGTGACATCTCCTGGCCAAGGCCAATACATCTTCGATGCCATCCTTTTCTAGGAGACTCTTTACCAATCCACTGTTGATGGCAAGAAAACAATTGACATTGAATTCAGGGATAATTAGAGAGAAAAAATACTTTGAATTTGAATTTTAAATTTATGAGGGAGATTTTATCGGTATTTTTTAATTGACATTGAATTAAGGGATAATTATATCCAAAATAGGAAATTAATTTAACCTCCTTTTAAAGAAGAATATTTTTGAGATAAAAAAAAATGGACTAAAGTCATTACATATAATTTTAAATATGGACTTAGCTTATTATAAATTTTCTTATAAGACTTATCTCCAAACAAGTACATTTACGAAAACTTACTTCTAATTTTTACTTAAATTTTTGATATGGATTAATTATATAACTCAAATTGTGGGGCTTAAACTTCAAGTTTTATTTCCAATGAGGTTGGGCCGGCCCTGGCCACACAAGGAGAGAGATCGAGTGGAGAAGCCTGACTTATCTCCTAAGAGTGAGAAGCAAAGATTGTGAATTGTCAGAAATAGAAAGAGAATGCCGGAGAAGAATGATGAAGATAGATTGATTTCATGAAAAAATTGGCAATTTTTGACTTTTTATAACAAATAACATTTGAACCATTTGGTTTGACAAAATCGTCCGCTTCACTAGTTTTGTCCATAATTAATTGATTTTGCAAGTTTTTTCTAGTTTATTTGCATTAGCGGTCCAACTCAAGAACCAAATTGGTTTAGATCTCAGTCCACAATTCAACTGGTCTGGTTTTGATAATACTGATATAATGGTCAATTTGGTAGGAGTAGGGTATAGTTTTCATCCCTTGTCCACTATCCACCCCTATTAACGGGTATAATTTTTATCTCTATCCTTCTCTGCAGGTGAATTTGTAATCCTCGCCCTAGCCCTGTCCCTTGGCTTCACCCCTGCCCGCACCCCCACCCCACCCCCAGCCACTTTACCCACCCCAACCCAAGCTCAAGTCCAAACCAATATAATCCAAAATTTTAAATAAATCTGATATTTTAAATAATTCAATATAATTATAGTTTAAAGCTTGTCATCTACAATATAATCTAATATAATATAATTAAAACGTTGTTTACAATATAATATAATTAAAATTTTGTCTCATGTAAATCTAACACAACATCATGCAACACAATAAAATATAACATAATATAATCCAACATAAAAAAATAAAAACATAAATATCTACACTTTTACAAGCCAAAAACATGAAAAAAATAATAAATAAAATAATTTTTAAAAGAAAAATTATTCAATAATATGTAGATTTATATTCACAACAACATGCACGCGCGCGCACACACACACACACACATATATATATATATGTGTGTGTGTGTATAAAATAATAATAATAAAGGGCAAAGCGGGGCGAGAAATGTCAGTCTATTCCCACCTTTATCTTTGCACGGGTTTATACTGGTATCTTCGTATACATGCACTGTCTAGTACATATAGTCTATCCTCAGTCCAAACTGGGTAAGTTTGAATGGATACTCATTTTTACCCGGTTCATTGCCATCCCTAGGTAGGAGAGAGAGAAAAATACGAGAAATTTTTTTTTCATCATTGACATAAAAAAGTATATTTTCTCCCCTTTTTGTTTTGTAAAATGAATGAAAAGTTGGAAGCATTTTTTTAAAATCTGGCCCGATCCAGCTGGTTGACTCGGTGAACCAGTGCTTGAACTCGGTCGATTCTTATAAAATACCGTTTGTACTTGAAAATTAGAATCAAACCACTGAATCGGTCAAAAATCGGTAAACTTGGACAAATTGAATCAAATTGGACAGTTTAATTAAAATTGTATAAATAACAAATCTTCTGCACTTTTTGGGCATTTTGTATTTTTGCCCTTTTGTTTTGCCTTAAATCGCTCCAGACCAGACTAGAAGAGGTAGCCTCCACTAGTGATTCCACGCTCCAGTCCAGCCTCCAACACCAGCAAGCAGCAGCGACTCCAGTTTAGCTTCCAGCACGTAGGTAACATCGACTTTGGTCCACTCTCCAGCACAAGCAGCAACTCCGGTTCAACAATTATGGATAGAACCAGTGACAAGGTGAGTTTCCCTCTTTCTCTCTCTTTCTTTCTCTCAGGTTTTACCTTTTTGGGGCATTTTGCCCTAAACTCTAAATTGTTCCCAAACCCCCTGCTTTGAGACTCTCAAACGCTTCCTTTGCTTCTCTCTCTTTCTCTCTCTGGGTATCTGCTGCGACTACGAGCGAGCAATAAAAGCTCAAGAGTGAAGGAACTCTACTTCACGAGCTCCTGCTTCATTGCTTCAGGGACTCTTGCTTTGAAGAAGAGGCTGCTTCAAGCTTCATATCTCCATTGTGGCAGCCAACGATAACTCCCATTGACAGTAGCAGGTACTACTTTGCCCTCTCTCTCTCTCGTTATCTTTCTCGATTTCTCTTTCATGCTATATTAGATTTTTTATTTATATACATTGAATCTGTAATTAAGAGCAATCATACTTTGACTTTCTACTATTTTTATTGAATCTGTGATATTTTATTTTTATACATTGAATCTAATTTTTTATTTGTGATTATTTTCATGCATGGATTTTTTATACATTGAATCTGTGATTTGTTGGGATGTTGTTGATGCTTTTGAAGTTTGAATTTAGATATATGGTGGTATCTTTGTTGCTATGAAATGAGATTTTGGTGGGTTTATTACAATTTTTTGCATATTTATTATTATTTATGATTATTTTTTATTTTTTATTATATTACCTGTCCAACCATTGACCCAGTGATCCGGTCTCTTTGCTGGATTGTTGTCCGGGCCGGATTTCAAAACACCGGTTAGAAGTGTTATTTTTCCATTATTTAGTTTTGGCAGAAAAATGAGAGAAAAGAAAGCATACACAAACTTAATTACCATTATACCCTTACACAAAAAACTAATTTTTAAAATTGCAATTAATTAAACTTTTAAAGATTTAAAATTGCTCAAAAAGAGATGCAATTTGTTTCAGGCAACCAAATGGAATGGGAAGTCCAATTACAGTACCGAAATGCTATTTGTTGGTACCGTATCTTTATTTTTAATTCAATAAAAGCATGTTATGTTTAAAATTATTATATTTTTTAGCTTTTATTTTTATTTTATTATTTTTCAATCAATAATTATAATTCAACAAAGGGTAGAAAGGTAAAACTATCATCTTCTTGCCCAAAGTCCATCTTTTTTGAGCTGAAGGGAAAGGTATTCCTCCCAATTTTCCTTTCCCTGCAAACCAAATGGTGGAAACGCTTTCTTTCCTTTATATTTTCCTCCCTTGATTTTTCATTTTCCTCCCTACCAAACAGGCCATAAGTCTCCATGATAAACTAGCTTATGTCAAAAAAGTAATTATTTTGTAGCGATCATCATATCATCTTAGATGGCATAATGAACTCGATCAGTAGAAAGAAGACATAGTAATTAATTGGGTTACATGTAAGATGTAGCTCCTACTTTGAAGGAAAAGAGAGGTCGAGACCCCCCACCTCATCAAGAAGGGGAAGGGATCAGGTCGGTCTTAATTTTTATGTTCTCCCTTAGTATATCGAAACAACTATTTCACCTGTCGAATTTCAATCTAAATAGAATTTCGGTCCAAATTGAAAGTATGCATCAGCACACTCATTTATACAGATCACTAACCATGAAATTAAAGGCCGGCTGGTGTGTATAAGAATATGAGAATCTGAATATAATGAATGGTAAGGGCAAAAATTGCCATGGGGGCATTCTTGTTCTTGTATCTAATGTCCGAAAGAGATTCCAAAGTTTAAACCCCACTTGGGAAAATAAGTTGCTATTGTTTTGTCTTTGGCTCTACCACTGCCTACTACGGCTAGATTTCGAATCTAGAAATTTCGATGCTTCTGCTTGTAGGTTTGGTCTCTTTTGTCGAGTTTTATTTTATTTTTTAGTTTACTTTTGATTTCTAAAGTATGTATTTTTTGTTAGTTTAGTCTTTATTGTATCAATTTGGTCCCTAAAATATTCAATTCACGTAATTTTAGTCTCTACATAGACGAACCATTAAATTTTTGACAAAATAATTATTAAAAACGTGTTTTGAACTTAACGTTTTTAATTGAAAAACTAAAATTTTAAAATGTGCTATTTTTTTGAAGCTATGGTAACTTGAACAAAGTTTAAAAAACTATATAATTACGGGTAATATACAGTTTCAAAATCACTTTAGCTCGGCCGTTAGATTACTTTCTTTGTTTCTTTTGTTTTTTTTTTTTTAATTTAACAGTCAGAGTTGTCCAGGCCAACTTACACACACATCGACTAATTCTCTTCACAGTTAAAGACAGATCATCTACATTGGGATTAGGGTATTCAAAAAGGATAAATTTCGCATGACCTGTCCACAAAAAATTGTCAAAATTTAAATTCAAGACGTCTAAATTTATTGTTCATTTCTATTCTCAGTTGGGCTTCCTTGGGTTAGTTGATTCCTTTCTTGCCGTCCATTTCCTGTTGTTTATCGATAGCATAGTTCGGTAGTTGATTCTTCACTTACTTCATGTTTTTTAGGATAACATGCATAAGTGTATATATAAAGACGATATATACTCAATCATTTACTTAAATATAATCGCCTTGCCGGCCAAGAAAAAATTTGGCAACAAATTTCACTACAATTAAACACATGAATCGAAGCATATCCATATGCTTCTCTCCTACTTGAAGTTATCAGTTTTTCATACAGTTTGGTGATTAAATTTCGGGAAACACATGTTTACAAAGAAGTTATAATGGATTGAGGTAATTTGTGATCAATCACACAAATTTATGATCAATAAAAATATTGTGATCGATTACGAATAATCGTAACGTATCATGTGTAGGGCGTAACTTGATCTTTATGAGTAGTAATTTTGGAACGTTTTGGGTACCCAAGTTGTTTTTTAATTTAAATTTGTCTTGGGTATCATTTTATTTTAACCGTCTAGTTTACATTCATCGACTAATCTCCTCTATGATTTGGTCCTTCGTCTCGAGACTAAGACATTCATAAGCGATATCTTATGGCGTGACCCCAATCGCTCGTCACTTAACTAGAAAGGATTGTTGAGATTCTATTTTGGGCACCTTTGTCTCCCTATAAAAACCCTATCCCCATTCCTACAGCATTCCATAACCAGGCAACAATGGAGTTCCTGTCCAGCCATGAAGAGCTGTTTTCTGACTTCAAACTCCCATTACTAACCCTAATTCTAGCCACCATAGTAGGCCTTCTTGTTAAGTACTGTAAATCCATGGCGTCTTCTTTTCGAAGCAAGAAACTTCCACCTGGGTCATTAGGGTATCCATTTATCGGAGAAACTTTAAGCTTTCTCAGGTCACAGAAAGAAGACAAGATCATCGAATGGATGGCAAATCGGATCACCATGTATGGACCAGTGTTTAAGACCTCACTCATGGGCTCCAAGACGGTCGTTATAACCGGCCAAGCCGGTAATCGTTTTATGTTCAGTGGAGCCGACAATGGCATTGCAAGCAATCAACCAGTTCCTGTAGCAAAAATAATAGGGAAACACAGCATCTTTGAGGTCTCAGGGTCCAGACACAAGCTTGTTAGGGGTGCCATGATGAACTTTTTGAAAGCTGAAAGCCTTCAAAGACATGTTGGTCAGATGAATTCACTAGTTGAACAGCAACTATTCCAAGTACTAATCAACATCTCTTAATTTTAGCTATTTAAAATTTCAATGCTTTCGCATATATGGTACTTAAAGTTACATGCCGCTTAGTGGGGCAAAGGAATTTGAAGGTTGAGAGATGAATTAAAGTAAACAAAAGGCTGATAAAGATGAACCTTTTTATTTCAGCCTAACTATATGGGATGGGGGGGGGGGGGGGGGCAATATAGATATAGGAAATGCTTGATCTGACCATAAAATAAGAATAGGTACTATACTCAAGCGGAAGTAGAGGGAAATGCTTTCCTTGAAAGAAGCACAAGTTTCGATCAAAAAAATAGAAAGAAGCACAAGTGAAATGATACCTAGATTAGGCTGGGAAATCTGGCGCAAAGCGAAGGGATTGGATACACAACTCTCCATCCCCCCCTTAAATTTGTGGTTATATACAAGAATCTTGTACACTGAACTGTCTTTTTTTGATTCTCTTTTATATGTGATACTCTTGGTTGCAGGAACTCAATGGTAAGGATTCGATACAAGTCGTAGAATTAATGCAGAGGATGACTTTTAAGGTAACTTGTAGTCTACTTTTCAAATTAGCAGAAGGAAAAGAAAAAGATTCATTATTCAAGGATTTTACCTTAGCCCTGAGAGGGGCATGGGCAATTCCCTTGGATTTCCCTGGCACCATCTTTCGAAAAGCAGTGCTGGCTCGCGGTAGAATAACCAAGGTGCTTTCTGATCTGATTAGAATGAGGAAGAAGGATCTGGAAAATGGGAAAAAAGGGTCTCAAGAAGATGTTATTTCTACTTTTCTGGTTTTGAGGGATGAAAATGGGAAACCTCTACCAGAAGAAGAAATTATTGACAATCTTGTTACTCTCATTATTGCAAGCCATGACACAAATTCGATTCTTCTAACCTTGCTTGTAAGACACCTTGCTAGGGATGTTGATGTCTGCAATAAGGTGCTTGAAGGTATGTAATACAATCTAACAACCTAGCTAGGTATGACATATAGAAAAGGAAGATACACAATAAAGTACAATACTCGTCTTAATTAAGCATATATATATATATATGTTGAGCATGCTCTCGATCAAGAGAGTACGTTGTTCATGACAAATACTCTTCCGAACCTCAAAAATATAACTTATTCTTTAGAGCTGAACCGAAAGACTATGTAGCATCCTCTCACATCTGAAAGTGTTTGATTCCCCTTTTACTTGTAGCTACGTGTCCATTTTTTTTTTTTTTGGCTACGTGTCCATAAGAGATGAATCTAGGGTTGCAAGTCAAATGGTTCAACTTGTTGATTTAACAGAAAAAGTGAAATGGTTATTAGGCTTTCAAAATGACTGACCAATCTATAATTCTATATATATATATATATTGTGCCATTGAAATATGATAGAGCAAATGCAAGTTCTGAAAGCAAGAGAAGGAAGTGCTGGAGCGCTTGGATGGAGTGATGTACAGATGATGAAGTATACATGGAGAGTGGCCCAAGAGCTTATGAGGTTGATATCTCCAGCTTTTGGCAACTTCAGGCAAACTTCCAGAGACACCTTCTTTGGTGGCTTTGATATCCCCAAAGGCTGGCAGGTAGTGTTAGAAATTCATAAATAACTCATGAAATTGACAAGAAACTAGTGGGTTTAAGTTAATCATTAATAAATTTGGATCATAAGCGGTTTGATCCGTTATGCAAATTTAATAATTGATCAATATGAATCTAACTAGCATAATTTACACCTGATATAAAGCCGATACAATAATTATCCGTTTATACATGACCATAAATTTATGTTTTATGAATTGACATGATCCATAGATATCCCTAGGAGGATATACACAAATCACTAGACTCATGCATTAATAATGGGTTGATACAGACCTGATTAACATAACTTACACTCGATATGAATCTGCTGAGTTACTTACCCAATTTTACATGATCACAAATTCATCAAGCATGAATTGAGTAAGTTTTGACATTATCTGTTGATATATATATATATATATATATCCCTAGGAGGAGGATGTAGACAAATCACTAGGCTTATGTATTACACATGCAAGAACACACTTGCAACATAGAGTAGTTTTGGCTCGTCATTTAAAAGGTAAAAAATAGATAAATCTAAGGAATATGGGAACCCTAATTGACTGTATCTTTCAGGTATTTTGGGCGACTTCTCCAACACACATGGACAACAACATTTTTGAACAGCCAGAAAAGTTTGATCCATCAAGATTTGAGAACCCTACAAAAACTATCCCTCCATATACCTACATTCCTTTTGGAGCCGGTCCACGTATCTGCCCTGGGGCAGAATTTGCCAGGATTGAAGTGCTGCTGATAATCCATCATTTGATAGCAAATTATAGTTGGACAGAAGCAATTCCGAATGAGCCGCTGACCCGGGAACCCTTTCCCTACCCGGCCATGGGACTTCCCATCAAGCTTCATCCTAGGAAAGATGTGTAGAAACCCATTTCTGCGGCTTTGTCCCTATGTTTTTCACTGTAGGATGTATTAATAAAGTCTATCTTCTTGGCAATTTGGCATTATGTGAGAGTACAATGACAGCTTAATTTAGTAACACTAATCTTGCTCATTTGTTTAAGATTAATTTAGTAAGAGTAATAAATGCGATTTTCCATTTTAATCACTCGCCATTAATGATTGAATCCACAAGTAAAACCAGATACTTTACGGTAATGCTAGACTGACCAAATTTTGGAATCAAATTTGGAGCCCAAATGACATGGCAAATTAAGTTTGTCACTTAATTATTCAGACCCCGTAACATTTGAAATATTACACACAAACTCTTTAAAATTTGTACGCGTATAACACTTAAACCCCTACAAAGTTTGTAAGTATATAATACTTAAACTCCTTAAGTTTAAAATATTTGACTAAGACCAAAAATACTTCAATCAAATATAAAATATTTTAAATTTTACAACAAAAATTCATGTTCTATTATATCATTTATTTAAATAAAATTAAAATTAAAAAAAATTCTTAAAAAATCATAATTAATATACAATTATACTATCTATTGGAATAAAATTAAAAAATCAAACAAGGGGTCTAAATTATTCATAATAGAACATGAATTTTACATTTAAAATTCATGTTTTATTATTTTATTTATTGAAATAAAGACAAAAATAAAAGTCCAATTTTTTTAAAAAAATCATAGTTAATATATAATTATACTATCTATTAGAATAAAACTAAAAAATTAAACAAGTGGTCAAACAGTAATTGACACAATATCTTTTAGTTTTAATTGAGGTAGTTTGATATTTAATTTGGTTGTTTAAATGACCAAATTAAATTTTAATAAACAATATAATTGTAAACTAATTATGATTTTTTAAGAAAAAAATTGAATTTTTATTTTTGATTTTATTTCAATAAATGATACAATAGAACATGAATTTTGATTGTAAAATTTAAAATATTTTATATGTTATCTTTGATTGAAGTATTTTTGGTCTAAATATAATATTTTACACTTAAGGGGTTTAAATATTATATACCTACAGACTTTAGGGGGTTTAAGTATAATTTATTAAATAATATATTTACACCAGAGGTCTAAGTGTTACGCGTGTATAAACTTCAAGGGGTCTGTGTGTAATATTTCAAATGTCAGGGAGTCTGAATAATTAAGTGACAAACTTCAGGGGGTCTAGATGTAATTCTCCCTAAAAATTTTATAATCATTCGGTCAACAATTGAAAATAAATTTAAGCTTCAATAACATTATTCTTCCTCCAATGTTTGAACCCCTGATACATCAATGACCCATAATTAATAAATTCTACCATGATTTGTCTCACGAATTGGACACGTCGTTACTATGAGTGATTTTTGTTTCAACGGGTTTGGATCATTAGGGGGTTAATTTGTGATCAGCTCACTCAATAAATGAGCCGACATGAATCTGACTATGCATACGTGAATCCAACATGATATGAATTCAATTATCCACAATATATATGATCGACTCGGGTCACTGTTGAACAAATTTGACCCAATGTGATCCAGGTAACTCAAATTTGTATTTTAAATGAACGGGAATCACTGGATGAGTGGGTCTCATTAACTTTTTTAAATGTAACCCACTGATCCAATAATTCTTATTGATTTGAAATACAAATTTAAGTTACATAACATTGCTAAAAAAAAATTTGAGCAATAAATTTTCAGCACATTTAGACATTTGGTTTTTTTCACAAAATAACGCGAACACCCTTGATGGTGTTACAACTTTTACTTTGATACCATGTTAAACACCATCTCATTAAACATTAAGTTATTAAAGAAAATGTAAATCGAATTATTTATACTTCAACAATACAACACATACCCTCAAATGCCAAGAGAATAGAATTTAGACCATCATGTATTAAAAACAGTGAGAAACCCCACAAAAATGGCTTTCTCTAAACATCTTTCCTGGGATGCAGCTTGATCGGAAGTCCCATGGCTGGGTAGGGCATGGGTTCCCGTGCTAGCGGCTCGTTCGGAATCACTTCCGTCCAACTGTAGTTCGTTATCAAGTGATGGATTATCAGCAGCACTTCAATCCTGGCATATTCTACCCCCGGACAGATTCGTGGACCAGCTCCGAAAGGAATGTAAGTATATGGAGGGACAGACTTTGTAGGGTTCTCAAATCTTGATGGATCAAACTTCTCTGGCTGTTCAAAAATGTTGTTGTCCATGTGTGTTGGAGAAGTCACCCAAAATACCTGTATTATATATAATCAATTAGGATTTTTCCACATAGATGACAAGCTAAAACTAAGAGTATAGTGACATAATTTACTGACATAGTGATGTGGTTTTATTGAACTATTGAATCAACACCAAGTTTTAATATTTAATGGTACCCACAGTCAATCTAAAAATCATAGTAAATTAGCTCAATAAATTAAGTTTCAATAACATTGCTCTAAAACTAGATGTTGCAAGTGCACGTTATTGGGACTTAAATAATTGATTTAATTTGCTAACCTAATAGTATGATGGTGACATGATCTAATAGTTATGTCGTACTTGTAACTTGTGCACTTTTTTATTAAAATTTTATCACTTAACTTATCATTATGTCAATAAATTAGGTTTATTTTTTAAGTTCCAATAGTATTACTGTTTTGTATATGTACATGAGGCTCTATCAATTGAGTCGGGTGTGTTACATCAGTTCATGTCATTTCTAATTGGGGGTTGTATTATTCGTAATTGACACTAATCCAATTCATTTGCTATTTATATCAACAAATCTTATTATTTTTGGATTCGAAGTCCATTGTTGTCATGTCATGTAACATATGATGTCAAAAAACGAAACCCTAATCTTGTGGTTTGTGTACCTGCCATCCTTTGGGGATATCAAAGCCACCAAAAGAGATGTCTCTCGTAGTTCGTTTGAAGTTGCCGAAAGCTGGAGATGTCAGCCTCATCAGCTCTTGGGCAACTCTCCATGTATACTTCATCTTCTGCACTTCATTCCATCCAAGCATTCCAGCACTACTTCCTTCTCTTGCTTTCAGAACTTGCTTTTGCTCTATCATATGTCAATGGCAGAACAAACTGGTAAGTCATTTTGAATACCTAATCAATTTCAACATTGCTGTTGAATCAATCATCAAGTTTCAGATGCAGTTCATAAGATTTTAGGATTAGACTACAGTACCAATCGACGTCACTTCCTCTTTTTATGTAGGGATAACATGATGTATTCGATTTCTTATTTTATGTTATTTTTTAATCAATAGCTATATAAAGAAATCCGACCAAGAACTGGGGCACAAAATGATTTTTAATATGGCACCGATCGAAAATAACTTTTTAGTACCATAGTTTTATCCTAGATTTATACCTTCAAGCACCTTATAGCACACTTCAGCATCCCTGGCAAGGTGTCTTATGAAAAGGCTTAGAAGAATTGTAGTTGTATCATGGCTGGCTATAATGAGAGTGATAAGATTGTCAATAATTTCTTCTTCTGGTAGAGGTTCACCATTTTCATCCCTCAAAGCTAGAAAGGTTGACATAACATCTTCTTGAGAGCTTACTTTCCCATCCTCCATATCCATCTTCCTTCTTTTAATCAGATCAGAAAGGACCTTGCTGATCCTACGGCGAGCCTGCATTGCCTTTCGAAAGATGGTACCAGGGACATCTAAAGGAATCGCCCACGCCCCTCTTATGGTGAACATGAAATCGTTTAATAGGGCATCTTTCTCCTTGCCTTCTGCTAATCCGAAAAGTAGACTACAAGTGACCTTGAAAGTTACTGTCTTCATCAGGGTTACGCCTTGTACTGAATCCTTTCCATTCAGTTCCTACAAGTGATAGTATCACATTACAAAGTTCGAAATCAAACAAAAACGATAAGTCAGTGCACGAGAAGTCGATATGTATACACTATCTTATCCTGCATGCGGAGAATTGTGAAATAAAAATATATTATGGAAAAACAAAAACAAATTTTGGAATAGCTAAAATTAATATAGGGAGATTTTGATTAGTACTTGGAATAGTTGCTGTTTAACAACTGAATTCATCTGACCAACATGTCTTTGAAGGCTTTCAGCTTTCAAGAAGTTCATCATTGCACCCCTAACAAGCTTGTGTCTGGACCCTGAGACCTCAAATATGCTGTGCTTCCCTAGTATTCTGGCTGCAGAAGATGTTTGATTGCTTGAAATGCCATTGTCTGCTCCGCTGAACACGAACCGATTACCGGCTTGGCCGGTGATGACCACAGTATTGGAGCCAATCAGTGAGGTTTTAAACACTGGTCCATTCTTGGTGATCCGGCTCGCAAACCATTCAACGATGGTGTCTTCTTTCTGTGCCTTAAGAAAGCTTAAAGACTCTCCGATAAATGGAAACCCTAATGACCCAGGTGGAAGCTTCTTGCTTCGAAGAGAAGCCGCCATGGATTTATAGTACCCAAGGAGTAGGGCTATTATGGTGGCCACGACAATGGTTAGGAATGGGAGTTTGAATTGAGAAAGCTCCATTGCTATTGGTTATGAAATGCTGCAGGGAATGGATCGATTAGGGTTTTTATAGGGAGAAAAAAAAATGATGAGTCAAAATCTAATCATCGATCTTAACGAAAAAATGTAACTTCAAAATTCAATTGCATTTGTGTAATATCAGAAACGATTGAGCATAAAAGTACAGATTAATTTTGTCTACACACTTAATTCCAACAGCAATATGGTGATTTCTCTTTGTGAATATCAGGAATCTTACTCAAGTTAAACTTAAATACAACGACAAAAAAAAAAAAGTTAATCACAAATTGCATTCCCAAAGATTCTTCGTATCTCAATTTGTACCTTTAAATATTAAAAATCTTAATTTACACCCCGAAAAATAAAAATTTGTATCAATGTGCACTTGAAGTTAACATCTGTGAGTTTGTCGTCTAAAAGTAAATAAATAAGTTATACTTAGACTTTCTCATTCTTGTCACTTAATCATCTAGACCCCTTACATTTAAAATATTACACTTACTTCCCCTAAGAATCTAAATATGACTAAAAATATAACCCTAATTGGGCATCCAATTAATTCTATTCAAGTGATGTATTATATTACATATAAATAACATTATATAAATACCTACATTATATTGGACATTTAAATAGTAAACTTGATTTTAAACTTTAGAGTATAACGGGCCTACAAAATAAATGGTAGTGTGAAAACTATAATTTTTTATTAGCATGAAATCTTATTTTTTAACGGTTATATTAACAAATATTAACGACAAGAGATTATGTGTTACACGTGCACAAACGTCAAGAGGCGCAGTAGTAATATTTTAAATGTGAGGGGGTCCAAATGATTAAATGACAAACTTGGGGGAGTTTAGTTGTAATTTATCCAACTAGTTTTAGATGTCAAACTGACAACCGTTAATTTCAGGTACGCATTGATAAAAATATATATTTTTGAGGATGTAAATTGATATTCGAGAGATCTTTTGAAGTACAATTTGCGATTAACCAAAAAAATAGAGACAATACTACACACCACACCTTCCTACATCACTTTTATGCGCTACTTTAACATAGATCATTATATTAGTAGGTGACTAGTTATTAAATATCCAATGACTATAATTATACCACATCACGTGGTATAAAAAAAATCGTATACAGATATGACGTTCACAATATTATTAAAAAAAAATGAAAAGCCTGTAGTTTAATACTCTATGACTATATGATTGCCAGTTGCCACCATCCATTGATGTGTCCTATTGAGGTCTGAATGTCTGATCCATCCAAGATCTGCCATTGGGTTTGTCAGCAACCTGATATATAGTTGGTGGTTGTTTTCCATACGACATGCCAACACTTTAAGAACTTAACGAATCATTAACGGATTAAAATTTATCAGTTTTTGACACATGTTGAAAAGTGACACGATTCACTAAAGTAAATAATAGAAGATTAAGGTTAGTGTTAACCACGTTTAACCTTAATTTTGAAACGACAATTCGTTTCATTGGTATTGTATAAGGTAATGTTTTCTCTTTCTTTAAGTACGACAAGCATATGGATGCTTGCTTATGTATGTTTCAATGTAGTGATCACTTTGCTGCTGGTGTTTTCTAGGCCGGCTAGGCGATTCTATATACGCAAATGAGCAGAACCCTCATATCAGTATCCTAAAAACCAAGAAGAAAGTGAAGTATATGGCTGATTTGATTATGTATAGAGCTTGGCATTTACTGTTTTTCATCCTATAAATAATGATCCAACAAGAAATGACAGCTCTTCACGGCATAATGAACGTCACTATGCTGTTGGAGTTTATTGAAGAACATAAACATCGCGAGCTAAAGAGGCCAAACCCTAACTATAAACAATAGCATCGCCATTCCTAGGTGTACGTCTAGCAGTAATAGAACCCAAAACATAGAAATGACCACAACAAAACGACGGATTCGTTTTTGATACAAACTAAAGCAACTTGATCCGTCAATACGAAGACTAAATGGGTCGGATTTGTGTTAGGCACAAACAAGTTGATTTTGGAACGATAAACCCATGTAATTTATGTGAGAAAAAAGTTTCTGAATTTTCTTTTTTTCATTTATAGAGCAGGTATAGGAATTGTATTTCCTAGCATATTGATTGAGTGGATTTTTAGTTTATATAGGCCAATAAGTTGTTGATCAACTTGATATAAAATGGAATACTAATACAAGATGACACCTACGATGAACATTTGTTGAGTTCACGTTAAAACAATTGACCCGATTAACTGATGGGATTTATTAAATTCAACACTAATTTAAAATAATACAATCTAACACGATTGGTAGAATATGATTGAACATTGAATGAATTCAATGGGTGATACCTAGCTTGCATCCACCTCATTGGTTGCGAATAAAATGTAACGTTACAACTTGCAAATGCTAGCGCAGCACAAATAAATTGTCCTTTGTGGCAAATTGGGACAAAATTATGAGTAATATAATTTTGAGGGTATATTGCACAAGCTCTCAATAAGTTTTTTGAAATATAAATGACATGAACACCACCGAAGACCATTTTTAATGGAGATTTAAACCCTTACTCAAATTTAATTAAAAAAATCGATAAAAACTTGATTTGGTATAAGTCTCTCCAATGATTAAATCCATTTTTGCACTCAAATCTTTTTTTTAAAATCTCGTCTTATCTCTAAATCTCTTTTCTTTCATTTTTGTCCTCCAATTTTTTTTTTCTTTTCTTATCTCTACTTCTTTTCCTCTAAGACCTCTTTCCTCCTCAAACTAGTAAACAATGCACAAAAACAAAAAATTTGCCTCAAAGAATAAAATCAAACCAATAAAAACGGGCAAAAAAAAAGGAAAAAAAAGAGAAGCAACACATCCATAGAACGAGGAAGAGGGAAGAGAGAGAGAGAAGAGAAGAGAAGAAGAGGGAGTTGTTGAGGAGAAGAGATTGAAGTGGGTTTTTTACCGTTAAATTTTGGGTCAGGGTTTTGAGTCTTTCTTAATTTGAGTTTAAATTGAAGTCTTTTCTTGATTTGGTATAAATTTGGGTATATAATTGGAGAAGGTTTTTAAAAGTTTCTTACCTAAATTTAATTTTGGGTCTACAAAGAGTGAGCATTAGAGATGCTCTAATAAAGTATTAAGAAGAATACTAGTATACTAACCAGAAACTAGTTCTTTTCTAGTTTCAACAGACACCAACACAAAATCAACATAATGTGAAATGTCTAATTCATCCGAAATCAACAATCTTGTTGTATTTTGTTATATAATTTGGACTGCATTAATTATTTGTACTCATGTTACATTCAAGTCATATATAGATCGCATTCTGTTATATATAGTTGACAAAAATAATCGTTCGACCTAAAAGGGTGAGACTAGAACCTTTTTTTTTCCTGAACTAGTTCCATTATATATTATTCCTCTATAGATTCAAAATCTAATGGATGCGCATTTTAGCAAAGCAAAGTTAAAAAATTTAATTTAATGTATCCATCTATTTACTTACAAATTAGAAGGGAAAACGCACGATAAGTCTTTCCTCCACATTTCTTAATTTTCTAGAATTTAAATTTTTTTAATTCAAAACCTAAATCTCACTCCAATAAAAGGCTATTATATTTCATTTGTAACAACCTCTCAACTCCCCCCAATAACGAACCCCTATTTTTAAAAATTTATTCAAAAAATTAATTTTTTTATCACCTAAATTTTTTTTTTGTTTTATCTAAGTTCTCAAATGATAAAAATAAAATAAAAAAAAAGATAAATTAAATAATTAAAAAAGACATGAATTATAATCATGTGCATCACACGAGGTGGATCACTATTACTATATATGTAAAACAATTAAATTAGGTTGGAAGTGACTTGAGAATTCTTTCCTCTCACTTTTCTTTTTTCTTAAAATTTTTAATTATTTAATTGTCACACACGGTTTTAATCAATTATACACTACACATGTCTTATATAATTACCCCTTTACCCAACTAATTAACTACCACTCATTTAAAGTTCTCTAAAAAATTAGCCATTACTTTAAAATTTTTAAAAACTTAATTTTACCATTCTAATTTTTCATAATTATTTTATAACTATTTTTTTTTTTCAAATGGTATGATGAAAGTAAAAAAATTGAAAAAATATATATAAATTTCATGCATCGCACGAAAAGTGTAGTTAGTTTTACCATAATTCATACAATATTATCGTAGGAATTTCGTAATTGTCAAGTTATCATTAAAAAATTACACTCCATATACTAATAATAACCGTTTTTATGTCAAATATTTACTCCATGGGTATGGGTAGGTAACCGTATCTGCATCAGCAAGGCACACGTAACGAGATGACACGACCTACAAAAAAATATTCTTAGCCGTCTCATTCTGAAATTCGAACGCTTTTACGCGGCCACTCGTACTTCCCAAATCCGACGAATCTTTAAACAAAAATTGCAATCCAATCGTCTCTATCCTCTCTGCCCAGCATTCAATCAAACTCCATTCTCTCTGCCGCTCCCAGAATCCAAAATCCCCCAAAAGACAACGTGTTTTTGCAAGATGGCGTCTCGGGGGATTCGTTGTGGACGAAACCACCCGTCCATTCACAATCATCGAACCCTTTTCCGCATTGATCGATCCAATCAGATTTCTTCAATGAATCTTTCTTTTTCGTTCTTTTTCAATCACCCAATGAAAAACCCTCTTCAACGAATCTCTGCATCAATGCCCTCATCGATTTTCACCATGCTTTCTTCTTCCCCTAACAATCTAGAATCTTATCTCAAACTCTCTGTTGATGAAGAAAGGGATAACGAGAAATTCATGTTTTCAGAGAAGCTCGACGAATGGATGAGAGATTCAGTGGTGGAGATTGTTAAAAACCTAAAAGAAGCTCCATTGTTGGTGCACATTGATTGGCATAATAATGGGCCAGAAAATTTGAGATTCAGAACAGAGAAGGCGAGTTCAGAGAATTGGAAAACCCTAAAGAGTGAATGGGAAAGAGGGACGACACCGTCGCCTGATGGGATTATTTTTGTCGAAAAGATTGAGGATGAGAGAGTTTTGAATGAGGGTGTAGAGGAAGAAGAGACAAGGGTTTGGGGGATAGTGGTACAAGGGAAAGGAGTGGATTGTGGACCAGTTTGTTATTTGTTGAAGACTAGCAGGGTTGGGGTTGGGGGTGGTTTGGGGTTGTTTTGCACTCATTTCTTATTGGTGAGGATTAGGAGTTTCAGCGAGAATGCTCTGTCTCAGCTTGAAGATTGTTGGTTGCTGCAGTGAGGTACTGGAATTTGATTGGATTGGATTGGATTTTTTTTTGGGTAGCCAACACTGTTGGTCTCATTGGACCATCTTAGAGTTTGTCAGATAAAAACTAACTGATACATTGAAATTTTTTGTAATATGGATTCATCTGTTCAATCTACTTTTGTGGACTTGCTTGCAAGGCTGATATCATCTTCCATTTAGTTCTGTTATTCACTTTTTCAATCTGTTTTCTTGCATTTGCTTGCAAAGTTGATATCTTCAGTTCTTGTTGTGCCCTGGTATAATTACTAACTACTGAGTGGCTGCATTGGCCTCGTATGATATTTGATCGGCTTCCAATACTGGTTTTTACTTGAAAGGATTCAATTCAACTGTGCTTTATGTATTATTCTATGGCACTCATCTTCCAAAGCAAAATCACTTTGTTAAGATGAACTTGTGAAGGGAGCAAAATCTTCGGTGAAATAGTCTCTACAGATCACCTTAAGCTCAAATGTGTTTAGGAACATGCTAGAACACAACTTCTTGGAAGTGCTGTGCCAAAATATCCTCCAACAAAATCATATGTTATGAAACTGACATTACCTTACAATGTTCAAAGATTTTACTTTTCCTGGCTTGACTCAGAAAAGAAATCAATTTACTTGCACTGTCAGTCTTCTGTTTGCAATACCAGTCTGCTTAAGTAGGTTTTTAATATTCAAAAGGCTCTGATTTAAAGTTTTCTTTGCTGCACATTAGTCCATCTGCCTCTTGCTGGTCTCAGAATTGAACTAGTGACCAAATTTGCTTTGCCAGGGGCAATAAGACTGACCCGCGCGGATAGGCTTCAATCATGTGAAGGTTTTGCCATTAAGGTTAGATACTCTTAGATGTGGCGGAAGCTTTAGGAGATTCAATGCTTTGTTCTCTGCTACCTTTTCCTTAATTCCAGCTTTCTTACATTAACTAGGCATACATGAAATCTAAATAGAACTGCGTTGTGCTTTTAAGTCAATAAATTTTACAGGTGCAAACTAGATGTGCCCACCTGCGCTTACTTGGTGTCTGTAAATTTCAAGTGCAGTCTTGTTCACAAGCCTAGTAAAGCTTACTCTGTGATTGAGTGAAGTCTTTAAAGAAAAAGTACTACTGTTGACGTAGTTAGAAGACCCTAGTTAACTTTAGAAGAGATAGAAGATGCCAATTAAGCAGTTATAACTTCACCCGCCTTTTTTTATCCAGTAAATTCGTCAAGCTCATGCTCAATGAAATGTGCAGACCTGTTTAAATGTACAGAAGCCCGCTTTAACTTTAAATAGTGTCATCCAAGCTGAGCATTGTTAGCATCTGATCCTCACACTTTGATTCAGCACAAAGTTTCTTATCAGTTATCGGGGCAAATCATGTGAATGACAAAGCTGAATAACAAGTGGAGTTTGAGACTTTCAAGCAGTTAAAGTAGCCCACCCCAATAGATAAATTGGCATTCCATTCCATTTCTCTTATTTACATGTACCCAGTGGGAAATTGCAGATGGAAAAGTTGTAGAAAAGAACCATAGAGCAGTCAGCTGATCCTGTTGTGTACAACAGGCGTTTTGTATGCAGGAGATCATGATTCTTCTTTGCAGTCTCAAGGATTTATTGAGGTATTACAATGAATACTTGTATGAAGTTTTGGTCAATGCAAGATCATTGAACAGGGGAGCACACTCTAGGTTAAGGCATATAGCACTTAGGACACATTTAAGTAAATGCTGTGCACAGATGTATATTTCATCCTGGCTTTGTAGCTAGTAACTAAAGCAAAAGCCAAAGATTAAAATTGGTAATATCATCCTGGATTACGAAAGAAGATTCAGAGTCTTAGCAAAAACAAGTGATTTTTTCTTAGTTGAGGCAGCATACCTATCATTGTCAAAAAGAAAAGAAAAAAAAAATGAAGGTTGCATACCTATCAGTAGCTAACTCTGTTTCAAAATGACACTTGAAAGCAGTGTACAACACAGTAAACAAACTATGCAAATATTATTCTACAGTGCATTAAGCATGCCACAGAGGTATTTTTTGGGAGAAGCTTGAAGTAAATATGATCATGGAGATATTTCCAGCCCTTCTCTTTGAGAAGGTTCAACACAACATTGTATGCAGGGGTATATCACTCTGTACCAAGGCATGTTGAGCTGATCAGAGGAAATCTCATCGTAAAAACTCAAACTTAGAGGGCAGAAAAGATTGAAATACCGTTGTCAGAGTAGAAACACTACTAGTAATAGAAAAAAAGAACCAAAAAAAAAAAAGAAGGAAACTCCGTTAGTTAATATTCGATTCAACGATATTAAATTTTGCTACCAATAATTGCATATTGCTCTAAATGCATGGTTTGATGATGGTTCCAATGGAGATCAAGGGTTCAAAACTTCTTGAGGTTGTTGACACCAATAGGCAAATATCTGTAGTTTTTTTAGCTAGGAGCTTAACAGTATAAGCCAACATACATTGCAAAGCTCCTCTTCAAGAATGTTCCATTCAAGCAAGGGGAGGCCAGGGAGACCTTTCCATGGATGATGGATGGGGGATTTGATAACAATTGTTAAGTATTTCAAGTTTAAGTAATGCTCACTCAACTTTCTACCATCAAGTCTGGGTCAAACACCCTCAAGGACAATTTACACAGATGAAATTTATTTAACATGGGTTCTTCAGTTTTGTGTGGAATTCCGTCATTTAGTCTTTCAAAATTCCATTTTTTTCATTTTAGGATAAAATTCAAAAATTAATAATAAATTATAGGACAGTCCAAATTCAGTGCCGCTAATTTTTTTAGACTCCAATAGAAACATAATTTTATTTTAGTCAGTTAGATCACAATTTTCTATTTTTTAATAATTTTTGAGCAAATTTTTATTTTTTTTATATTTTCGAATAGTTGGGGAAAATGTAGAATATGTGATTGAAATGACTAAGATAGTTCAAATTCGGCGCTACGAATTTTTTTAGACTCGAGGCGAAATGTGCTTTTATTTTAATAAGTTATATTGCAATTTTTATAATTTTTTATTTTTTTATAATTTTTGAATAATTGAGAATGATGGATAATAGATGACTGAAATGGCATGAGCTCAGAATGAATTGAGGCCAATGGCATTTGATCCAAATCGAGTCAACGATCAATACTCATCATTGTGCCATGAGCTCTGTCAATTTTACACCGAAATCCATCGTTTAGGCCCTCAAATCCCATTTTCTTAATTTTAGGATAAAAGTTCAAAATGATTAATAAATCATAGGACAATTCGAATTTAGCGCGGCCAATTTTTTTAGACTCTAGACGAAACACGTTTTTATTTTAAGGGAAAATTTCATTCACACCCGTTCTATTTAGGTCTAAATTCAATGACACTCTTTCCTGATTCTGAAATTTCACTGCACCCCTTTCTGATTTATACTTTCAAATCAAATACACCCCCTTAACAGTAATTTTTATCTTTGTTAATACAAAAAGTAACGGTTTGACTATAAATTTTTTGAAACTGTCAAAATTAGCATTTCTTATGTAAATATACTAAAATGTCTTCAACCATTTTCTCACTATATATATCATGCCTTTTATTGTTGCTGAAGGTGAAAATGATCTACTGTTGCTAGAAGACATAAGGGACAGAAGTCAATCATTCTACTTCAACTCGTTGTCCACAGTAATCGATCATTACATAAGTTGATCAAAACAAATTTTATTTTTTATCTTGCAGATTTGCAAATGTTTTTTATGCAATTTTTTTAAAAAAATTCATGCAATTTTTTTTATTTTGTTAATGCAAATATTTTTAACTTTTTCATGCAATTTTTTAAATTTTTTTCATGCAATTTTTTTTATACAGATAGTTTTAATTTTAAAAAAAAAAAAATTCATGTAGTTTTTTTTATTTTTTTCATGTAGATATTTTTAATTTTTTTCATGCAATTTTTTTTTAATTTTGTTCATGCACATTTTTTAATTTTTTTCTTCCATTTTGTTTTGTCAATATGTTATGATGTATTATTGTAGGATTGATGTTTTCTTCAATAGTTGATGGAGATAGAGACAAAAATTAATGTCTATGTCAAAATCTCATCAATTTCTAACTCATTTGCTATCGTCTGTCCTCCATAACGTCACCTGACTACTCGTGACACATCACCCTTTATATATATAAAATTTAAATATTATTTGATAAAATTTATAATAATTGAGTAAATTTAGTCTTAATTTGATAAATTTAAATATTAATTTGGTGTTAATTTGATATTTATATTCAGTGTTGATTTAATAAAATTTAATATTAATTGAACAAATTTAAATGTTGCCTTTTTATTTGGTGTTAAATTAAATAACTGGCATTAATTTGATAAGGTTAAATGTTAAATTAATGAAATTTAATATTCTATTTAATATATTAAATTTTAATTTAATAAAATTAAATGTTAATTTGGTGTTAATTTGATTAAATTAATTAATAATTTGTTGTTAAATTAAAGAAATAATATTAATTGATGAAATAAAATATTAAATTAATATAACTAAATATTAATTTGATAAAATTAAATATCAATTTGTATTAATTTGATGAGATGTAATGTTAATTTAGTTTAAATTAAATAAATTTTATTAATTTAATTTAATTAAATATTAAATTGATGAACCTAAATGTGAATATAATATAATTAAAAGAGAGTGCATTGACATTTTAGAATTGAGGAGGTATTGTTAAAGATAAGTCTATTTATAAAAAGTGTCGTTGCAGTTATTTATATTTACAAATGGTGTGGATAAAATTTACCCTATAAAATATTTAGGAATATTTTTGTAAATTAACCCGACAAATACTGACTGGGAATGACAGTGAAGTTTCAAAATCTGGAGTGTGTCTTTGAATTTAGACCTAATTACAAGGGGTGTGGATGAAATTTTTCCTTATTTTAATTAGTTAGATCATAATTTTTTTTATTTTTTTTTATAATTTTAGGGCAATTTTTTATTTTTTTTTAATAATTTTTCAATAATTTGATATGACGTAGATTATGTGGCTAAAATGGCTCAAAGAGTCCAAATTCAGTGCTGTCAATTTTTTGTAGACTCTCAAAGAAATGTGCTTTTATTTTAATAATTTAGATTGTAGTTTTATATTTTTTTATAATTTTTGTGTAATTTTTTAATAATTTTTTGAATAATTAAGAATAATGTAAAATAGATTGCTAAAATGATTCGGGTTCAAAATAGATTGAGACTAGTGGCATTTAATCCGAATTGGGCCAACGATCAACACTCATGGCTATACCATGAGTTATGTCAGTTTGCATTGACTTCTATCGTTTAGACCCTCAAAACCCTATTTTTTATATTTTAGGAAAAAATTTAAAAATTACTAATAAATAATAAGACAGTTCGAATTCAGTGTCACCAATTTTTTTAGACTCCAATCGAAACATACTTTTATTTTAATTAGTTAGATCGCTTTTTTCTATTTTTTGATAATTTTTGTGAAATTTTCCTTTTTTTTATATGTTTTTGAATAATTGAGGATAATATAGAACATGTGCCTAAAATGACTCAAACATTATGAATTCGGCGCTGCAAATTTTTTTAGACTCTAGACAAAATGTGCTATTATTTTAATAAGTTAGATTGTAATTTTTTATTTTTTGGTAATTTTTGTATAATTTTTTATTTTTTGATAATTTTTAAATAATTGAAGATGATATAAAATACGTGGCTGAAATGGCTCGAGCTTATAATAGATTGAGAGTAGTGGCATTTGATCTGGATCAGATCAATGATTAATACTCATTCCTATACCACGAGCTCTGCCAGTGTTGTTTTGATTCCATCATTTAGGCCCTCCAAAACCCATTTTTCTCCATTTTAGGATAAAATTTAAAATTTAATAATAAATTATAGGACAATCCGAATTCAATGCCTCTAATTTTTTTGAACTCCAAACAAAGCATACTTTTATTTTAATTAGTTAGATCACAATTTTCTTTTCTTTTTTTTGATAATTTTGTGTAATTTTTTATATTTTATAATTTTCAAATAATTTGGATGATGTAAAATAGGTGGTTAAAATGGCTCGGAGTCCGAATTCAGCAATGCCAATTTTTTTAGACTCCTTATGAGTGTGTTTTTATTTTAATACATTAGGTTATAATTTTCTATTTTTGGATAATTTTCATGTTTTTTTCATTTTTTTTTTACAATTTTTGAATAATTGAGGGTTATGTAGCATAAGTGGCTGAAATGGCTTGGGCTCATAATGGATTAAGACCGGTGGTATTTGATCTAGATCGGGGCAACGATTAATACTCATTGCTAATCCACGAGCTCTGTCAGTTTTTTTGCTGAATTCCATCATTTAGACCCTCAAAACCTCGTTTTTTTCTATGTTAAGGAAAATTTTGAAAATTAATAATAAATCATAGGACAGTCTAAAATTAGTGTTGCATATTTTTTTAGATTCCAAACAAAAAATAATTTTATTTTAATCAGTTAGATCGTAATTTCTTTTTTTTTAAATAAATTGCATGCAATTTTTTATTTTTTTTATAATTTTTAAATAATTGGGAGTGATGTAGAATAGGTGGCTAAAATGGCTCGAAGAGTTCGAGATCAATGTTGCCAATTTTTGTAGACAGATGAAATGTGCTTTAATTTTAATAAATTTGATTGCAAATTTCTATTTTTTTGATAATTTTATGTAATTTTATATTTTTTTAGAATTTTATAATAATTGAGAATGATGTAGAATAGGTGGCTGGAATGGCTAGGGCTCTGTATGAAATGAGACTAGTGGCATTTGATCCATCTCGAGCCACATTCAATACTCATTACTAAGCCATGAGCTCTGCCAGTTCTGTGTTGAATTTCATCGTTTAGATCCTCAAAACTCCTTTTTTCTATTTTAGAAAAAAATTTCAAAATTTAATAATAAATCATAGGACAATTCAAATTTAGCGCCGCAAATTTGTTTAGACTCCAGATGAAATATACTTTTATTTTAATCAATTAGATATAAATTTCCTTTTTTTTTTTTTTGATAATTTTTGTTCAATTTTCTATTTTTTGAATAATTTGGGATTATGTAAAAAAATTGACATAAATGGTTTGAATAATCCAAATTCAGTGACACCAATTTTTTTAGATGAAATATGCTTTTATTTTAATACGTTGGATTGCAATTTTATATTTTTTTTAATAGTTTTTGTGTAATTTTAAATTTTTTTTATAATTTTTGAATAATTGAGAATGATGTATAATAGATGGCTAAAATGGCTCGGGCTTAGAATAGAATGAGACTAGTGACATGTGATCCAGATCGAGGCAACGATTAATACTCATTGCTAATACATGAGATCTATCAATTTTGCGCTAAATTCCATCGTTTAGGTTCTCAAAAATCTTTTTTTTTTTTCATTTTAGGAAAAAAATTAAAAATTAATAATAAATTGTAGGATAGTTCGAATTCAACGCCTCAAATTTTGTAGACTCTAGACTATACCTAATTTTATTTTAATCAATTAGATCGCAATTTCCTTTTTTTTTTGTTGATAATTTTTATGCAATTTTCTATTTTTTATAATTTTTGAATAATTGGGGTTGGCTAAAATGGCTTAGAAAGTTCGAATTCAGCGTCACCAATTTTTTTAGTCTCTAGACGAAATTTAATTTTATTTTAATAAGTTAGATTGTAATATTCTATTTTTTGATAATTTTTGTGTAATTTTTTATTTTATTTTATAATTTTTTAATTATTGAGGATGACATAGAATAAGCGGGTGAAATGACTCGGGCTCAGAATGGAATGAGACTAGTGGCATTTGATTCAGATAAGGCCAACGATCAACGCTCATTGCTATGCTATTAGTTCTCTGTCAATTTTGCGCTGAATTTCATCGTTTAGACGCTCAAAACCTCATTTTTTCAATTTGAGCAAACGAAATTCAAATATTAATAATAAATTATAGGACAGTCCGAATTCAGCGCTACAAATTTTTTTAGACTCCATACGAAATATACTTTTATTTTAATTAGTTAGATCGCAATTTTCTATTTTTTGATAATTTTGTTCAATTTTTTATATTTTTATAATTTTTGAATAATTAGAGATGATGTAGAATAGGTGATTGAAATGGCTCGCAGAGTCCAAATTCAGCGCCACCAATATTTTTGACTCTAGACGAAACGTGTTTTTATTTTTATAAGTTAGGTTGTTATTTTCTATTTTTTTTTGATAATTTTTGTATAATTTTTTATTTTTTAATAATTAAGGATGATATAAAATAGGTGGCTGAAATGGTTCGGGCTCAAAATGAATTGAAACTAGTGGCATTTGATTCACATCACGCCAACGAGCAATATTCATTGTTATACCATGAGCTCTGTTAGTTTTATACTGATTTTAATCGTTTTGGCCCTCAAAATCCCATTTTTTCTAATTTAGGAAAAAAAAATTTCAAAAATCATAAGACAGTTCAAATTTCGTGGCGTAAATTTTTTTAGACTTTAGACGGTACATACTTTGATTTTAATCTGTTATATTGCAATTTCTTATTTTTTAAAATAATTTTCATGTAATTTTAAATTTTTTTTTATAATTTTTGAATAATTAAGGATGATGTAGAATATGTGGCAAAAATGGTTCGGAGAGTCAGAATTCTGCGGCGCCAATTTTTTTAAACTCCTAACGAAACATGCTTTTATTTTAATAAGTTGAATTGTAATTTTATATTTTTTGATAATTTTTATGCAATGTTTTTTTATATAATTTTTGAATAATTAAAAATGATGTAAAGTAGATGGTTAAAATGGCTCGGACTTAGAATACATTGAAACCAATGGTATGTAATCCGGATCGTTAGCTATTGTATAGTGCTCGTGCTACATATAAGTTGGATTTAGTAGACTCATATCATAATTAATTGGATTTGTATCAACTCAATTATTTGTTGAGTCTAACAAGTCCCATTGTTCATCTGCTAAGACTGAATATAAACTTGTTCACATTTATTGGATGTATCTAAAATGTGAGACCAATTGTTGATTTACCTCAACAATATTAGAATAAAAAGATAACATGAAAAAAATGCATAATAAAAAAGAGGGTGATTTACAAATCCTATGGGTTTGACAATCATTCGTGTTATGTTGGTTTAATGGGTTTAATTGATTCAAGTGTTTACTATCCAAATATACAAATTGTGTAGAAAGAAAAGATTAAAAGAAATAGAGTAAAATATATATATATATATATATATATATATATATATATATATATATATATATATATATATATATATTATCTTCAAATTACGACTCTTGTGTTAATTAATAGATAATTTTTTTTTCTATTAATTGAGTCTCTAAACTTTTTAATTGTGTCGATTAAGTCTTTTTATTTGTCTCCGTTAGAAAGTGACACAACTGATTTGGAATAAACTACATATATATCTCTCAAATTATGACTCTTGTGTCAATTAAATCTTTGAATTTTTTTCTATTTCAATTGAATCCTTAATCTTTCTAGTTGCTTTAATAGAGTCTTTTTGTGTCATATGGTCATCCTGAGTAACAAACTCTAATCTAAGTAAACAAAATGACTCAATTGATAAAATTAAAAAATTTATGAGTTCAATTAATACAAAAAAATATTAGAGACTTAATTGATATAAGAATCGTAATTTGAAGATTATATGTCTAGTTTATGCAAAGAAATACAAAATAAAAAAGGGAGAGTAATGTACAATCACTGCATAAAAGCTCGTGGAGCAGCAAGAATCTTGTAGAGCAGTAAATTACCCTCCCTCCCTCGGCAACGCGGCAAGATTCCTAAGGGCCCAGAAAATCCCTCCATCCTTTTTGAATTTGAATCCTCAAACCAACAAAAACAACGTTGTTCTTCTCTCTCTCTCTCTCTCTCTCATAAACCACATGTGCTTTTCTGCACTCCAGATTCATTTACGAGATTAAAGCTCTTGTCAGCGCGCTCTTCTGCGAAATTCAAATCAAAAAATATAAAACACATACCCAAAAGCACGAACAAACCAATCTCTTTAACTTCTTACCATATCTGCCTCAATCAACTCTGTAAATAAAAACCCTAACCCTATTGACATCCATTCACACTTCACAAACTTTCATCGATCTTTTCTTTTTCTATGGACCCAATTTAACTTTTAGGTTTCTGCAAAAAGGGTCACAGCTCAAATACCACTTGTGTGTTTTTTAAATCAAAATTTTCCTTTTGGTGTATTGTGATGGGAGATAAATGCGGCTCAGGAAGTGTTTCGGATCGATCTTTTGCAATACCCAGATCTGATTCAAAGGTTTGGATTCTTCATCGTTGAATGGAGTCGGTTTTTGGAGTTAATTTCTTTTTATTTATTTGGTTTTTGATATACTTATTCAGGTAATGGTGGGGGAGAAAAGGGGTAGAGTGGAAGTTGGAGAAAAATCGGACCTTGGTCATAAAAGAGTGAAAGTGCGAGATCTTGAGTTTGTGTTTCGTTCTGAAGGTACTTTTTTTCCCTCAAATTTTGAAGTGTCATTGCCTCATTTTAGTGCTTATGATTGAATTATTGAATAACTTGATTTTTATGGCATTGAAAAATGCATAAAGGCATCAAAGTGAGCCCTAGATTTTCAATTATTTCTAGAAGAATCAGAGAAAATCTCCACAACACAGAAAAGAAGATGCTTTTTTTTTTCCCTCTAATATTTATATAGCACAGTCTGTCTTGATCTTATAAGACATTCTGTCACATTTCTTAATTTTTTATCTTCGCGGGTTTTAAATCCAGAATTTGAATCAATGATGTCCAACCACAACCACATTTTCATTTGGGACATGGCAGTGACACCAAATTGTAAAAAATTTTAGTATCAGAGAAACTAGTGGACAATTTCATGTTGCTGAAACTGATATGTCTAGGTACTTGAAATACTATAATCATAAATTCAGATTTTGCTTAAGCAGGAACAATAGGAAGCGATGCTTCACAGCAAGCTATTGGCTCTGCAGCTGCTGGTGGACCTCTTGATCTCAATGCTGAGACTTGTGTTGCTAACAATTTTCCAGGTGATGATACTCCTGAATGTGTTGATGATAACAGTAGGCTGTCCTCTCCAGGAAAGCATGAGAGAGAATGCAATGATGACCATGCAAAGTCAACAGACTTTGGCTTATATATCAATCCCAAAGGTCTTTCTAGGTCAACCAACCATGATCCATTTTATCCCTACAAAAATAATGAATCTTTGAAGTTAAGAGATGATTTAGAGTGTGGAAGTTCGATTGGTCCATTGGAGGAAAAAGATCCGATGAGAATTTGGAAAGAGATGAAGCAAAACGGTTTTCTCTCATCTTCTCATGGAGGTGTACCAATGCCAAAGCCACGTGGGAGGAAAAGTAAAAGTGATGGGCTTAAGAAAAAGATGGAGCTCGCCAAGAAAGAACAGGTCGACAGGTTTGCAAAGATTGCTGCTCCTAGTGGACTGCTCAATGGATTGAACCCTGGGATCATAAACCATGTAAGAAATAGTAAACAGGTTCATTCCATAATAGAGAACCTAGTAAGATCTGAAAAACTTGAACACTGCCATGCTGGAAGCAAACAGCCAATCCAAACAAAGAGTGGAAAGGAAGAATCTAGAGACAGGAACAAGGACCTGGAGAACACGAATGGTTCAGGAATGAATAGATTCACTTTCCGTAATGAAGATGGGTACAATCTTTTATCAGGTAGCAAGCGGATTGGTGTTGGCTCAATTTCAATGAATAAGTCAGTATCTTCCAATTCAGAGCTTACCCGGGGGGATGGTGACTTATGCATGGTTGAGGGAAGGATTTTTGGTAGAAGTACTCATTCCTCAATCTCCAATCCAGGCAGCAAGGACGATATACTTGCCCTGAAGTTGTCATCATCTACTATTGCCTCTGAGAATACTAGCTCTTTGTCCAATGAGGATTCAGCAAACCTGAGCAGTGTTACTTCTCTTTCTGTTAAAGGTAGGTTTCAGTATTTTGATTTCCTTTCAGTATGCTCTTGTATTGCACATATTTAGTTGACGTAGTAGTTGATTTTAAAATGGGACTAATTGTACCTCGAGGCTCAATCTTTGTTAAATTTCACAAAATACTCTACCTTAAGCTGATATGCATTTCTGATTTTCAGCTGCTAATGTAGCTTCCCAGTGGCTGGAACTTCTTCATCAAGACATCAAAGGGCGCCTTGCAGGTAATGTTTTAGTTGTTGAGAACATGACTCCTGATTGTTGAGAGCAAAAAAACCCCTATATCTGCATGCTGAAGATGTCATTTATTCGCTTTCAGCATTGCGACGTAGTAGGAAGAGAGTTCGAGCTGTGATTCATACAGAATTACCTTTCTTAATGTTGAGAGAATTCTCATCTAATCAAGAGAATGATCTGTATGCCACAAAAAGTTCTGCAAATGAATTTTCTAGTAGTGCAACTGCCGATGTGCATCAAGCTAGATGGAGTGCATTATTCGATCAGATGGATAAATCTTTGTCTGAAGAAGAGAAGCAAATGGTAAGTATGGCAAAAGAAAATTTTCTGATCATACACTTTCAGGATGAGGAACTTTTGTTGTGCATTATAGATGAAAGCAAATTTCACCATCAATACATAGGCCAGGTGCAACTCTCATAAGATGAAGTGCATTTCAATATGAAGCTTTAGATGATTAATCAGTTTAATCAGATCATTATAGTTGCTTGATTTATCATGCCATTTGTTTGGGATGCAGAAAGCATAAAAAGAACAGCACTGGCAAGCAATTTTGAGGAGAGACTATTTACCTTGATTGTGAATATTGGAACTCGAACGGTCAACCCATGATTGTCATGCACAATGAATGTCGATGTTTGTCCAATCATAACTTCCTTGTTCATGGGTTCCCAAATTAGTTTTTGGTCATTTCGAAATTTCATTCTTGGACTATTCTATTCTGTTTTCCATCTAAGAATAGTTTTTTTTTGGGTAAGTAAACATTATATTGATATGCTATGCAAATTTTGAGGAGCACTGGCCAGCAATTTTGAGGAGAGACTATTTACCATGATTGTGAATGTTGGAACTCGAACAGACAAGCCATGATTGTCATGCACAATGAATGTCGATGTTTGTCCAATCATAACTTCCTTGTTTATGGGTTCCCAAATTAGTTTTTGGGTCATTTCGAAATTTCATTCTTGGACTATTCTATTCTGTTTTCCATCTAACAATAGTTTTTTTTGGGTAAGTAAACATTGTATTGATAGTTAAAAAGGTTTTCAATCCGACTTTTTTTTATCTGAACAATTCTTGCATCAGGACACTGCATGATATCTTAAGGCTTTTGACCAATGTCTAATGATGTTTCTTGGTGTACACACATATATACACATACATCTGAAGAAGTGTATCTGACCATTCTGTCTATTTTGAATTTCAGGAGAATTGGTTGAAACAAGTAAAAGAAATGCAGCTGCACTGCGAACGGGGCCTTTTCCAGTACAATGCAGCTTATGGTTTGCAACAGCTGGGTGCATTAGGAAATGACTACAGGTAAGCTTTAATATTCTTAGAAGGAAACAAATTGCTGTACTTCTCAGTTGTTATGACAGATATATCGAATGTGAAATTTAGTATCATGCTTAACAATGCCAGTATTCTAGAAAAAGAAGTACAACTCATGATTCTAAGTTAGGCTAATAGCTCTTTCGTGTTTTTCAAATGGCGAAGGCAGAGAAACGAGCATAGAAAATGAACCTCTACACTAGAGTGCAATGGTTATTCCTATTTACTTAGTGTGACATTTCAAGTCTTTTGCAGCAAAGCATTTATAAAACACAGAACCTATATGACTCCTAGCTTAAGCAATGAACTATAAAACAAACCTGGGTGACTAAACTGTTGCATTGTACTTGAAGAACTGCATTTGGCAGCACTAATTGAAACCAGAAAAATATATAGGTGAAGTGAGAATCTGCTGTGGCTGCAAGATGTAAAAGCCCTGTACTATTGGTAACATGGTTCAAAGTTGTAGAATCAGTCATCCATTTGGAAGGCAATGAGAGCATCCAATACATGAATACTAGATAGAAGAAGTTAGACATAACGAGAGATTGAGTCCGTATTGGAGAATTGTGGAACAATGACTTGCTCAAGATGTCTCTGTGTCATCCACTAGTCAAGTGGAACTATGATTTACTATAGGTCTCAGAACAGAAGGTATTAAGTTGGACACAACTCGAACAAGTTGTAGCTTTGTAGGTCGATACTCTGAACCATGCTTGTTGAGGCCTTGTTCAATACATACTCCCAATGCTATGCCAACTCTTGCTCTGGAAACAAAATGGTCACCTGAGTAGCATTTTCCTGTCTGAATAATGTGGCTTTATTTACAATTCCCTTATAACATCCTGCAGATGCTATGAAGCTGTTGGCTCTCTGGGTTTGTTTAACAATTTCATCACTTTCTTTGTTATTCAGATTAGAAAAAGCAGATAACTCAGAAGGGGATTTGGCAGTAAGGGCTGCTGCTGCTTCCATTTATTCAACATGCAACTTTCTGTTGTCAATGGAGAATTTACCATGTTTCTGATCATTCTAACTGCGCTTTCTCATTGTATCACAAATCAATTTCTAATGTATACCAACATTTTCATACTGATTTCAGTGTTCATCTCAATATGCATTTAGCATGTTAATGTTAGGCCTGTCACTTGGAGACAGATATATGGAGTAGTTCATTGCGCTTCGATTTACTGTCAGTATTTTCCAGATTATGGGCTGATACTTATTGTTGTTAACAACTATAATTCTTGCTTCAAATTAATGAGAGCTTCAATAACTGAATTCCTTACTCTTTGTTGTATGTGTCTTCCATTTGCTTGAATGAGGTGGAAAATTAGTTATGTTTCAGTTGGAATTCAGAATTTTTCTTTTATGTTTTGAGAGAAAACTAGAAAAGCTTTAGCTTCTTAGAAACAATTATGGCAAACAAGGATTGAATGGCAAAAGATTGTCTGATTTTGTCAATCAGAAACTGTTCGGATTAAGATTAGAGTAGCCAAATATTATTTTCAAAGCAATGCTACTTACATTTAGTTTATTGATTTAATTTGTTGATGTAATTGTTCATAAATATTGGATTGACAGTGGGATTTAATGTTTGTTCGGACAGTAACCAATCCAATGATTATGATGAATTAAATCAATAAATTGTTTCAATAAATCAAGTTCAAATAACATTATTATTATTTTCAATAGTGACACCAGTTTGCTGCTAAACTAGCTCGACCCGGTGGGTTGGGCTGACTTGGGTCCACTTATTATTGCTAGCCATTTGAATTTATTAAACTTTTCAAATTTTATGATCAAATTAGTGATTTTTAAATAAATTAATCCGGACAGCGAAAATGGGGAAAAAAAGATCCATTTGATCGGCAATGGCAGCAGGTTACAAGAAGTCAGGCCGAGTTGGTTAAGTACAGCAAATGTATACCCCAGTGCCTATGCTCGGCCAGAATACTCGGATCGTATAACTCAGCCTGCACAACTTGTCATACCCTTCCTGACACACATCCACAAAGACGTCTGTGCGTGTGTTTGCATGTGTGCAATGATAAATATATATGTGCGTGTGTGCAAATACAACAACACGCAGAGAGAGAGAGAGGGGGGTGTTGAAGACAGGCAGCAGCCATTGGAAGTTACAGCAATGATAAATATATATCACTCATATTCTTACAGAAACGTCGGCAGAATACAAGGGCTGTTGCATAGATATTTTAAGCAAAAATGATTTGTCCAAATATCTAGGCTTCATTCTAATCTTCCTCATATCAAAGAACTAGGTTTCTAAGATTTACAAGACCTATATATGAGATTCGTGCAAGAGGAATACAACATCAATAGTACAAGAAGAAAACCTATAGTGCTATCAAGTTAGATTAAATTTTTGGAAATGTGGCATATTGGCGATAAATTATAACTACATAATTCTGGCCATTTTGTTTACTGCAACACTAGAGCCAGTTTGGTGTCATCTTACTTGACATTGGTTTCAAGGATGGATTATCTGAAGCCTTGGCGAGTGAGCGATACTGCAATTTCACACTCTCTGCATTGTCCAGTGTCTTCACCACATACCTGCATTTGTGTGAGGGATACAGAAAACAATTTTTAGCTGTCTTCAGAAGGTAAGAATCATGAGGAAAACAAGAACTATTCCAAATAATAAGGGGAGAAATTGAACGCAAAAAAATGACAAAATTCTCAATTCAGTTCTTCGTCTGCCATTATGCTCAACGTCTTACTTCATGTTATTTCTGTTTCACTTTCATATAAGAGCAGACACATTAGCCCAATGTAATTAGAGTACTGCATGAGAGATGACTATATGTATATCATATAATCACTTATTACCATGTGGTATTACAACCAATGTTCTAAAAATTAGGATCCTATTTTGGCTCGATGGGAGAGACTATAGTTGGGATCGTAGGATTGGATCGAGACTCTTAAGATCCTATCAACTGAAAAAATTGATGAAAAACATTTGTAACAATATAGAATTCTGAAAAACAAGAATTAAACAAGCCTAATATATATTACGACAAACATAGAACTTAGAGATAAGATTAAAAGTATTAACTACAATACGAGCATTAAAGAGGGTTGAAAATCAAAGGTGGATTGCTAATCTTGTGGAATTTCACGAAGAGTAATAAGAGAATTGAAGTATTTTGATTTTTGATCTTTAACTTTTGGAGACTGACAGATACAAAAGTGAGACTAGGAAGTTAAAAAGCTATTGAATAATAACTTTGACTGTTAGACATCCAAACGAAAAAAGCAAAAAAGAATAAAAATGAAAGACTATCTTACAATGATCACACCTTGAGAGAGAAAATCAATTCTAACCGTTGCTTTCAACTTCTCAACAAAAAAGACGAACAAATAAAGAGATCTTTATGTAAACGAAACAAACGTTATGTAACTTTTCTCCTCTGTTAAAATTCCCCCATAGACTAACATGTAAGACATTCATATTTGGATTGAGTCTGTAACTATTAAAACAATAAATATGGATTGGGTTTACTCAATAACTAAATACGCCTAACAAACAAATCCAACAACTCGGATCGGTAAAATCGTATTTCAAATCAGAATCACGATCATTAAGATCCAATAAATTTGGAATTCTACAAAAGACTCGGATCAATTTGCTTGTACCAAATCGCATAATTGATCCAAGCATCCGGACAGGATGTTGATAACCATGATTACAACCTCTCCCAAGTGGTCCAATGAACTCAAAAGTCTAATTGGCAATTACATGTTGACAACCTACCAATATTCAACCTATATTGTGGAAATCGAGGGCGACAGCATCAATAAATCCAATAATAGCATGCCCTTTAGAAATAACCTGAACAAGTTCAAAAGTTTGACTCTTTGTACAGAGAACATGTGCCAAAAACTATAAAGAGAAATCACCAGAAGGTAGAAAGGGCTAGTAGTATTCAAATGCTCAGTGAGGACATCTTTCTTTCATTAATGAAACAAAACCACCTCAATTTGTTCTGAGATCAGCCCATAGCTTCATTAATGCTCACTCAACTCCTTAGTCATCCTTTGTACTGCACACAATAACTGGCTTTTCCCCCTATTATCCCTGTTTCATCTGAAGATATGGTTCGAACTCCAGACAACTTTATGTTTTCAACAGTCACAACTCACAAGAAATATTTATTCTGCATAGATCCAAGGAAAGGTAAGTTTAAAACCACATTGTTCATATTTCAACAAACTAAACCAAATAGCCTTGCACTTCTTATTTGACACTTTTTAGAATGCCCTTTCCCAACAATCTACCTAAACTACTCACAAGACTCCTTTGGCTTTCTGGCACTTCCGTGTACCTGTTTCAACTTTCACTAGCTTGAAAATTTCCAGAGAAGTCTTGTCTTCTAAAGCAACCAAACTATAGCAGCTAATATATCATAACAAGATACGTCCAAGGAAAGATCTCTCCGAGAATTTGCTCCAAAAGAAAGTAATCCAAGGTTGATCAGATTAATCTCACAATTTGCTTCAAAGGGAAGATCTCTCTGAGATGCTGCTCAGCAAATAACGCCCACCCAAGTTTGCAGGAAATGCTTTTCTTTTTAGTAGTTTGTATGAGATTCAACCCAACATTATTTCTCAAAGTATAGAGATGCAATGTACGATAGGAAGATGCAAAACAAGTTTCTTATTGTATGCCCAGCCTAGTAGTGGCCAAAACTCCATAGATATACTTGTCAAGGAATGTCACATATGTCTTTCAATATTTTGCCGCCTTTTTTTTCTCCCAATGAAGGGAGTTTGAACAAAAATACATTAGAGAAACCAACATTGATCAGTTTGAACTTATGATGGATTACACCAGACAAAACAATAAAAAAACAACACTAACCATCCATTCAAGCATTGAGTAGTTACAACAGCCTCACGACCAACAAAACGCTGGGGAGTCCTCTTGTTACCCTGATTCAGTTTGTTCTCTAGTTAGTAACGCCAATTTAAGTCTATTAAAGCATTCTAAGTGAAATCTGTGATTTCCATGATAGACCTTTATAATAACCCTGTCAGTCACAGCAAATGGAAACTGAACACCTCTTCCCCTCGGATGATCCATGAGAATTGAATCACCACAACTTCCCTTGTCCTACAACAAAGTAGATATATAAATGTCAATGCTTTCAAATATACCGTGAGGGAAACTCTTGAATACAAGGCTGTCCACAAATACAGTTGGGCAGGCTCAATGGAAGCCACAGCCCATCTTTCTCTGGATAAGCATGCTCTACCATTAATTCACACATTGCCGATAAAGTTGACTCACAGTCTGAAGCATGAAAAGACAAACCTGTTCATATCTCTCCCTTCGTTTTTTTGATGCACGGTTAACCTGTGACTCTTCTTCACGACGAAATGCCTGCACAGCAGCTCGGAGAGCTACATTGTGGGAAGAAAAACTAAATGAATTCCCTCTTAGTGTTACTATTACCTTTTAGATTCCGCACCCCAAAAACTAAAATTTGTTACTTAAACAAAACCTCTATATAGTATTCCCAAATGTTGCTCATATAACCTATGTTTAAAACTGGCTGCTTCTTTACTTCATATTTCCTTAATTCACAAAGAGGAGATATATAGCTGCCTAATAAATCATTTATGGTGTTTGGCGAAAGATATATATCAGTGGTAACCCAAAGAGGCAGTATGCAATGTTGAGGCTGTCAGTCTACTGTTATATCATCACCCTTGTAAGTTATACACCAAGATATTCACAAATTGACGAAAATATGAAAAGAGGCTTATTTTTTGTGATTGGATGCTTTGTAAAATTGACAGTCATATATTTACTATTACCAATAAAGTGAATTGCCACAAATTGGTGTAGTTGCCTTGGCAAGTATTTTATCTACATGTGGCCTTTTGTAATAGAAAATTTCAATCAGTAACAGAGGGTTCATTGCCTACTGCAATGACAAAATATTTGGGTGAACAAAGTTGTGTGTTCAAACCTAGCCGTAGACACTTTGTGCAAGTAATGCCAAAAAAGGTTAGGCATGTACCCCCCCCCCCACCTCCTTTCTTCTTTTTCTTCCATTGACTGGAAAAAAAAAAAAAGGTACCCACCCTTCCCAACAACCATGGTTAAGAAGGACCAAACGGAGCAATGACTTAATTTCAAATTCAATAACATCTGCATGACGAGCTCAAAGGCAAAATAAATTCCATCACCAAATCCATGTATAATTGGCTTTGTCCATTTATTTTAGTTGGTTTGATGTATTATAGACCAAATATGGTGATATGCACCAATAGTTATTTGTTATCCTTTCAGTTGAGCCAACTTAAAAATTTTAGAAAATGCTCTATCAAAGCTAAGAAGTCAGCCATGATATTGGCGTCCATAAGCCATAACAAAATCATGTAACAGTCAGTGCTCAAACGATGCATGGGCTAAACAGGTGGTCTGTCATGGCAAATAATATGCTAAAATAGAAATGTCCTGGTCATATTTCGGGGCACAAGCATCATAATCAAGCTACTAGTTGCAAGTTCTTAAGATTGTATTCGATAATGGTTGAACACTTAAACTTACAGAGGTTGGGAGCCACTGAGTCCTCCGACACTGCTTGGGAACATGTATAGCAAGCTTTCTGAAATGTAGTGTATGTAATGAACATTAAAGCATTATTTGGACAACTATGATTAGAGTAAATAGAAAATGTATTACGCTTACTATAGTTAAAAAAGGGATTCATATTTAAAAAAACCATAGTCACCAAGTACCAAACAACTCCGAAGCCCGGAAGCTAGTGAATGAAATTTCTTTCCTTGAAATAACATACCATCCAAATGACAGAAATCCAGGAGCAAGTTAAAAAGAAAGCAGTATTGAGGCCAAGGAAGGAAAAACAAATGAATAAATTAATAAATACTGATTGTCACATCATTAGATATTCAAACAAAAAAAATATCCAATGAGGATAAAATATCTACAATGCAATTTGTCAAGCTGAGCCAATGAAAATAATGTGAAGCAGTTAATATGCAGTAAACCTCCGCATCCTATTAACAAAAGAAAAGCGAGTATTTAATTCACTATTATTCCACTGTTGTGAAGAATTAAACCCTAACACATGGCACAGCGTGATAAAGCTCAAAAGGAAATGAAGTATAATTTTTCTACCACGTGTACATTCCCATAATGATTGTGTTTTTCCAAAATTAAACTTTGTTGTTCAGCATCTTGAACTAGCCATCCCTTAGAAGGTATTGTTAAAAGATCATCAATTCCTAATGAAATGGATGTAGTAGTAGCTAGAGAAACACCAATCTTTTTTTAGGGTATCATGTGTGTCAATTATTAAGGGAGTTTGTATCCCCCATCGAATAAATAAGACCATCAAAGTTGATTTTTATAGTTGAGGGGTCATTCCACTCATTGTCAATTAGTTTTGAATTGGCTATTCTAATATGGTATCAAAGTTGGGTCTTGGGTGGTCAATGGGCCAAATCTCTTACCCATTTAAATTTTCCAGTATGCATGCTTGTTTGTTCGTGTTGACCTCACGTGCGAGCCTGGGTCCCACATGTGGGAGGGCATTGAGAGAGCTTGTATTACACATCCAATAATTAGAACCACTAAGATGGGTTTATATATTTGAGGGCTCACACCACCTATTGCCAATTGGTTTTGGATTGAATGGTCTAATAGCAATCTCAATCCAAGAAACTAGCAGTAGACCAGACAGAGGGGCTGTTCAATACACTTTGCTCGCACAATAACATCAAATTAGTCATTTGAACACCAAAAATGACACTCTTAACACAGATTTGGAAGATATTAGAGTGTTTGTGCATGTGATTATGCACACATTTGACGAGTTGGTGCAAACAAATAGCAACATTCAAATCACAAATCTAATCAGGTGCTTTTTTCTGCTTAGCAGTTCATATATCACACTTGGAATGCAGATAGTTCACTGTCCGCATACTGATATTTGTAAGAAACAACTCACAAATGAGATATTTTCTCTCTAATAACTTACCATTTTAATAACATGTTGTATTCCACCACCACTGAAGGAATGCCCACAAGGCAATATCATTGCATCATCCATAAGTGTTCCTCTGATTATCCGAAAGTCACATAAACACACGAGGTAAACATTATTTAACGTACCAAATAAATGGCAAAAGCAGATTTGGCAGTAAAATAGACATATATATCCTCATCTGGAAACAATAAGTAATAAATGATTGCCACGACTATGACTATATTCAAACTCATCAAGATTGAAAAGGAAGAAGGAAAACTGTTTATCTAAACCATTATGAAAGAAATAGACAGTGTTGGCAGCAAACAGAACGCCTGAACCATTCTAGAATTCACAAGATATTAGGTTAAAGAGGCAACTTACCTAAAATCCCTTCCGCAGAATACTCTCCTTAAAAGGGTAAACTCAACAGTGAATCAGTTCCCCTAACTTAAATCAAGAAGCTGTCTTAATTTTGCTGATGAAATATGGGAATTGTTGCTACTATCACTATCGTGGATTTTGAAAGAAAATATGGATTAAATGTTAATGAGAGTTGTAGTCACCAAAAGCTACTGCATATTACATCAAGTACACAACTAACTAGCATTCCATATCACAGTGATCTCATTTGTGTTATCTGCAGAAAACCACTAGAAAATAAGGGAAAGTAATCCAGCAACTGGACAAAGAAAACAAATAATCTTAGTACAATCTGCATCATTCAGAAAAAAGAGCTGGTTTCACTGCTGCAGTTCAAGATTTGATAGTATAAACAATCACATCCATTATATCTCTCAGGACAACAAACATTGATATAGAGAAAACCAAAAATCATCAATACATGTAAGGCACCGATTTTGTTTACGAGAGAACAATCTCAACTGAAACTCAAAATTCAAACTTTTTACAATTGAAGTGCTACACGTAGTAGTAATTATTTAGAGGCCAAATCAACAAAGCAGATGCAACAAAATAACAAAATTAAATTGCTCAGGTGAACTTACGTCAGAGGGTCTGAGAGAATTGCCCTCAAAGACTCTCCTGATTCACTTCTTCCACTAAATCCATAGCCGTTTTCCACCAACATATCCTTCTGCCCAGCGTTTGACCCTTCCGGTCCCTGCAGATATTGAGAATAATACAAATCTCCATCTGGGTCCGCGATTGTAACTGCATTCTGGTATGAACCAACTCTTTCTTGCAGATGATTCCCACTCGAGCTCGCTCTCAAATCGTTATTATTATTACTATTATTTCCAGACTGACCAGTATTTCCTTCTTTCAAACCTAATTCCACAATGTAACAACAAATGAGCCATCACAATCCGAACAGTTATCTGGAAACTAATATAGTTTCCAAAGAAGAAAGGCGCAAGATCACATACCAAAAGAAGAAAGGCATTTCGACTTTCCATTTCCAATATTGTCCGTAGTAGCACTACTATGTCCACTATTGTTACTACTAGTATTATTTGTGTTGTTATTGCGGTTGTTGTTTACGCCTCCTAGTCTTTCAACTTCATTATCTCCTTCATCAACATCCTCGTCGTCGTCATCAACATCTTCATCTTCCGATCCATCGCCGCTCGGTGTCATTGAAGTCCGACCGTTGCCAGTCCAATTGTGGTTTCCCTGGCGGTCTGGAGCGGCATCTCCGTAGATCACTCGCCTGAATTCGGCGGTTTGAGGTTGAAAGAAGTGATTGTCGATGAATCCGGTGAGCTCGCGAGTGGTTTTCGGACCGGAATCGCCTACGACACGGTGGCGTTGCGGTGGGGCGCATGTGAATCGAATGTTCTCGTCTTGGAATACGAGCTGGGGATTGAGGCCATTATCGAGTCGCTGAGCTTGAACTAAACCAATTTTTTCAGACGCCATTGCTGGGAGAAAAATTGAAAACCCTAATCTGATTAGTACTTGACCTGAGATCAAAATTGAAGTGTGAAATGATAGAATTTTGAGCAGCAATTGAAAATTGGAGGGGTTTCAGTCCATTCTGGGATGAGAGATGTTGAGGTCTTCACATGGAGAATTAGAGAGAAATTGACAGAAACACGAAAACGACGTCGTGTAATACCAAGCTGGAGATGGATGCTGAAGGTTAGTCAGGTGTCATACAACGGATGTGATCCTACAAGGAGAGATGGAGAAAGCGACGGGAGAAAGTAAGGTTGATTTTTTTTTTTTTCCCGAAGTGGATTAAAAACTGGGGTCTCAATAGTCTCTTGTTCGTGTGAATCACATGTAGGGTTAATCGTAATCTGTCGTTTTTATTTGTGTTATGATCTAACAATACTTACCCACAAAAAAAAAATTTATTTAATGTGTTTTAAGTAATAAATATTAATTTAAATTATTTATCATGCATATTTGATAATTGTTTATGTTGGATTTATATCAATAGATCAGAACTGACACTTCTAAAAAGTGAAGAAATTATAAAAAAATTTAATTAATTATTTTTGTTTAATCAAAAATATAAGATTGATTGATCCCAAAAAAAGATTAAATTAATAAAAAATTAGAAATTTGGAGAAAAATTTTAAAACCAAAAAAGATTTAAAATAAGTAGAAATGAAATCAAATGTAGAGAATGTAATTTTTGCAATAATAAAAATATAATTTATACTCTTAAAACATATACATAATTTTTATTTGATTGTTAAAATTTTAATTTAAACAATTAAACCCTTTAAATTTTAACAATAAAATGATAATTTATAATTTACACCTTATAACATTGAAATTTCGATTTCAATTACTAAATCATTTTATTTTTTTTGAAAATAGAAATATTTTAGCTATTTAAAACTAATTTGAAACAATTAAGTATTCATGTTAATTTATACAATTTCTTCTCCGGTTTGATCAAAGAAAGATTTTTTGGGCGTGAATATAATTTTTTAGACTTATTTTGAACAAAAGTATATGAATAAATTGTTCATTCTATTAAGTACAATTTTTATAAAAATTTTGTGTTTAGGTACAAAATTCAAATGAATTAAAAACTTTTTTACCTAAACATCCTTCCTTAAATTATGCAGTTATCATTGGCAGTTATTTGATGAAACAAATATATAAAGATTAACAATAGTAATGAAAGGTAAAATAGGGGTATTAATGATAAAAACTCTTCTTCTTCGGCAATGGAATTTGATTAGAATGCCACAAATTATATGTGAATAAAAACTGAATTTTTCCCAAAAAAAAAAAAATAATTGGCCTAGATGTTTTGTTAAATATTATGTATTGTTCGTTGTTGGAAAGTAGAAAAAAATAACTTTTTTTGTTTTTTTTAATGGGGTGTAGTTGTTTTTAATTAGCGTAACTATTTTTTTAATGGGTGTAACTATTTTTTAATGAGTGTCACTAACTTTTTAATGTGTGTCACTGTTTTTTAATGTGTGTAACTATTTTTTTAATGTAACTATTTTTTTAATTACTGAAACTATTTTTTTAATGGGTTTAATAATCACAGTCTCGTACAATTGTTAAAGCATGATAGTGTAACGATGTCGTGATACTAAATAATACAACTATTTAATTTATGTAAACAATTGAATGATAAATTGGGTTAGTATCATAATTTTGTGTAACTGTTTGATTTATTAGAACGCATAAGTAATTGTTTACTGTATTATATGACAATTGTAATTGATTAGTGTAATTGTGTTGTTGTAATATTAATATAAATAGAAAGAGTGAAAATAGAGGGAGAGATAGACTAATAGAGAAAATACACCTCTATTTTACCTCTCATTGCTTGATTGCAACAAAAATATATGGAAGGATTACAAATGCTTTCAACCCATTAGACATTTACTGAATGACAATATTGTCATTTTTTAAAAATATACATTTTAGTCCAAATAAGATTTTGTGTTGTATTTTTGCTCAAATAAGGGAGTAGACTACGGTACATCCAAGAGAATTTTGGGTACCATATCGAAAATTTTAAATTTGTGAAATAATTACAACCTCAGTGATATGTTTACTAAATTTATGAGATTATTTACAACTTCAATGGACTACCTATTAGATACCGATTGATAGACAAGAAAAGACATTGAAATGACATGTTAGATAGTACATCATGATTACTAATAATTATGTTACCATAATGAAAGGAATATTTACAACTTTCAGTGGTATATTTATCCAATTTATGAGAATATTTACAATTTCAGTGGTATATTTATCAAATTTGTGTGAATATTTACAACATCAGTGATATATTTACTAAATTTAAGGAATTATTTACAACTTCAATGGATTCTTTACGACATTTATGGAAATATTTACTAATTTAATGGTATTTTTTACAATAGTTAATAGTTCATGATTGATCATTAAATGTGATCCATTAATCAATACACATATATGTGTGCTTAATTTATGAATATTTTACAACTAATCCAAGAAGATATACAACTTCAATAAATCAGTTACCACTTTTATAAGAATATTTATAACTTCAATGAATTCTTTATGGGAATATTTACAATTTCAGTGGATTGTTTACCAAATTTGTGGAAATAATTACAACGTCAATGATATGTTTACTAAATTTATAAAATTATTTACAACTTCAATAGGTTACCTATTAGATACTGGTTGGTAGATAAGACAAGACATTTCAGATAGTACATCATGATTACTAGTATTTTTGTAACCACAATGAAGGGAATATTTAGTACATCATGATTACTAGTATTTTTGTAACCGTAATGAAGGGAATATTTATAACTTCAATAGTATATTTACTAAATTTGTGAGAATATTTATAACTTTAGTGATATATTTATCAAATTTGTGGGAATATTTACAACCTTAGTGGTATGTTTGCTAAATTTATGAGATTATTTACAATTTCAATGGATTCTTTACAACATTTATGAAAATATTTACTAATTTAATGATATTTTTTACGATAGTTAATAATCCATGATCGATAATTAAATATGATTGATCGATCAATACACACATATGTGTGCTTAATTTATGAATATTTTACAACTAATTCAAGAAGATATACAATTTCAATGGATCAGTTACCACTTTTATGAGAATATTTTTTACTTCAATGGATTTTTTATTGGAATATTTACAACTTTAGTGGATTGTTTACAAAATTTGTGGGAATAATTACAACTGCAATTGATTGCTTACCAGATTTATGACAATATTTACAACTTGAATAGTTTTTTGACGAATTTGCAATAACATAATCCGATGTTTATTTATTACAAAGTCCCCCTTACAACACTTTAATTAATTCATTTTTGTGGGCATTTAAGTAAATACATAATAATTGATCTATTATATTTATTTTCGATCGATCACAATCTCATTTGCCCCTTCAACTTATACATCTGTAACTCAATGATCGATCATTAAACATATTTGATTGATCAGATGTTCCCAGTATTTATGATCAGCATCAAATTAACTTATTACATTGTGATCTATCATATTTTTTAAATTATCGATCAAATATTGATCAATCAAATTGTTGCATTGATTGATCAAATTTTTGATCGATCAAACAACAATTTGATCGATCGATTAAAAAATATGATAGATCACTATGTAGTAAGTTAATTTAATCGATCAAATTGTTGTATTGATCGATCAAATTGTTGCTGATCATAAATACTGGGGACATTTGATCGATAAAATATGTTTAATGATCGATCATTGAGTTACAGATGTAGAAGTTAATGGGGTAAATGGGATTGCGACCGATCCAAAATAAATATGATAGATCAATTATTATATATTTACTTAAATGCCCTCAAAGAGGAATTAATTGAAATGTTGTAAGAGGGGCTTTGTAGTAAATAAACATCGAATCATGTTATTGCATATTCATAAAAAAAACTATTCTAAGTTATAAATATTGCCATAAACCTGGTAAGCAATCCATTGCAGTTATAATTATTCCCACAAATTTTGTAAACAATTCATTGAAGTTGTAGATATTCCTATAAAGAATCCATTGAAGTTGTAAATATTCTCATAAAAGTGGTAACTGATCCATTGAAGTTGTATATCTTATTGGATTAGTTGTAATATATTTATAAATTAAGCACACATATGTGTGTATTGATCGATTGATCATATTTAATGATCAATCATAAACTATTAACTATCGTAAAAAATACCATTAAATTAGTAAATATTCTCATAAATATCGTAAAGAATTCATTGAAGTTGTAAATAATCCCATAAATTTAGTAAACATACCATTGATGTTGTAATTATTTCTACAAATTTAAAAATTTTGGTGTGGTACCGAAAATTCTCTTGGATGTGCCGTAGTCTACTCCTCAAATTAGTTTGAAAAATTATACCGACTTTCAAATCACCGATCAAAAAAATATCATTCACGTCATGACTGACATTTATGAGAAATTTATCATAACCTAATCTCAAGAGTTGCTTACAAACAAAATTTTAATCGTTGCTGATAAGAACATTAAAATGGTGAGAATCGGATCATCTGAAATCAATTCATCCAAGAAAATAGGCGTGTCACGGTCCACCCATTTGGGTTAGTTTTAATGAATTTTATTTGGGAGAATTACATCCAGACCTTTTGAGATTTGTCACTTAATCATTCAGACTCTTTAATATTTAAAATATTACACACAGACTCCTTAACATTTATACGCACATAACACTTAGACCCCTGTTATAAATATATATATTAATAAATTACACTTAAACTCTCATAAAGTTTGTAAATATATAATATTTAAACCCTTTAAGTTTAAAATATTATATTTAGATAAAAAATACTTCAATTAAATATAAAATATAAAATATTTTAAAATTTACAACCAAAATTTATGTTCTATTGTATTATTTATCGAAATAAAATCAAAAATAAAAATTTAATTTTTACTTAAAAAATTATAATTAGTATACAATTATGTCTATTATAAGTTATTAGTCATTTAAAAGACCAAATTAAAATACCAAACTATCACAATTAAATCTAAAAGGTATTATGTCAATTACAATTTGATTTCTTGTTTAATTTTTGGTTTTGTTTTAATAGACAATATAAATATATACTATGTTTTTTTTTTTAAATAAATTTTTATTTTTGATTTATTTCAATAAATGACATAATAGAACATGAATTTTGGATGTAAAATTTATGTTTTATTATGAATGACTTAGACCCATTTGTTTGATTTTTTTAGTTTTATTCTAATAGATAGTATAATTATATACTAATTACGATTTTTTAAGAAAAAAATAAATTTTTATTTTTATTTTTATTTTAATAAATGATACAATAGAACATAAATTTTAGTTGTAAAATTTAAAATATTTTATATTTTATATTTGATTGAAATATTTTAAATTTAAAGGGTCTAAATATTATATATTTACAAACTTTAGGGGAGTTTAAGTATAATTTATTAACTGATATATTTACAACAAGGGTTTAAGTGTTATGCGCGTATAAACTTCAGGGAATCTATGAATAATATTTTAAATGTCAAAGGGTGAATAATTTAGTGGCAAACTTTTAAGGGTCTGAATGTAATTCTCCTATTTTATTTTTACACGAATGCTCGTCATCTGGTCAATGTTAGGTTATTCCTAGTTTGGTCGGGCCCAAAAAGGAGACAGAATAAGCCTACGAGTCCCCCCCATGTAAAAAGCTCACCGGATGCCATGGGCTTTCAGGCTAGCCCAGCTTTGTGGCTTTTGATTTGTAGAACCAGAAATTAATTTTTTTTTATAATTCAAATCTTAAAAAATAAATAAAATAATTTTTTTGATTCGCAGTTAAAATCACTTTAAATTTTATTTTAAAATTAATTTAATAATTAATATTAACACCTTATATTTAATAAAAATAATAGGGGAGCCTAAGAGTGTGTTTAAAATAATTTTTTAAAAATTATTTTTATAAATACATTAAAAAAATAGTGTTTAAAATCGGTCCACCACTATCTCTACCACCGCCACCGCCACCGCCACTTCTGTCGCCGCCACATCTGCCACCATCATCGTCACCGCTGCCACTGTCACACCATTACCCCCGCCTCCACCATCACGACCATCCCCCCCTTCATCATCATTGTCGTCGCTGTCGCCACTACCACCACCGCTGTTGTTGTCGGCGCTGCCGCCACCACCATAATCGTCGTTGTCCTCACCACCTACCATCTCCTACCACTACCACTACCACCACCACCACCACCACTGTCGCCACCACCTCTTACCCCTACTATAAATCGATGTTTAAATTAATTTTTTTTTTTTATATTTCTAATTTGATTTTAAATATAAATATAAATATATTTATTGTTTACTATTTTTTATTATTTTTTACTTTCAGGCACGGGTAATAATTAGTTATTGAATATTTTAAGAATTAAATTAATAAAATTAATAAAATAAAAATTAAAGCAAAAATATTATTAAGCTTAATAATAATATGGTGTCACATTAGATTAAATATTCTATAGTAATAATGGCCCAATTAATATGGTTCAATTTCCTTTTGCCCCACGCAAGGGGTAAGTTACTGTCATCTACGAAGCACGCGATTTGGAACGACGACCTGGTGAAGAGGAGACTCCAAAGTGACCTCCAATACCATTGACCCTGCCGCTTATCTTCTTCCTCAATTGATCCGTCAACATATCTCTGTAAATTTGTCTCTTCTCTGAATATTGAGATTGTCTTAGTTTTAATCTCGAGCAATGAGGCTTTGGATCTCATCGGTAAGTCACAGACTCGGATTGTATCGGGAGCTTCGGATCTGATTCTGAATCTTGAAACTGTTAAAATGTGTGTGACAATGTGTCGGAGGCGAATATTCATCGTACTTCTCTTGACTTTGCTTGTTCCGTGGGGATCGAATGCGTATTTGATTGAAATGTTTCGAAGACTAACCGAAGGACACAATCCTAAGGTTGAACCGAAACCACTGGAGGTGATAATTTGGATCTTCGTTTTTCACGCACACACTTACATGTTGTAAAATTTTGGATTTGTACGTGTTCTATGTCGGAGTTACGGATTATAGTTTGTTTTCTATTCTATACTAGGAGCCTCCTTCTCCGAGCCCTGTTTCGAGCACTGGCTCGAATGCTAGTGGCGGTGGGGTTGATAAATCTGGAAAACGTATGGTTGGAGATGGTGAAGTTCCTGCTAATTCGCCCAAGCAAGAGCCAAATGGTGAAGAAACTAACGAGACGTGTGAGAAGGTCTCTAGAAAATGCACAATTCTGAATACCATCACCGCCTGTGTACCTCATGTTGGAAGTGGTAAGGTTTTATTTTTGACATTTGTATTGTTAGTCATTGAATAATTTTAGTTGTTTGCCTTTTTATGGGATGTGTTGAATAAGTTTGATAAGATCAGTGGATGCCTAATATATGGAGGAAAATTGCTTTGGTTACTGTATATTGTAGCACCATCCTAGGATTTACCTGAAATTAGATATCTTGTCACTAGAATTATCTACAGATTTCATTTTCTGCTGTTTTGAATTCAAGTATAAGGAATATGGGAAGCCTCTAACAGAAGCAAAATGTTGATATAACCAATGAAAGGGCATACTTTCCAACACGATGTGTTGAGATTTGAGAGCAGTCTAGTAAAACAAACAAATATGAATCAGTTTTAAATGACGTTATTGGTGTAGATGCTTAGTTCATGTAAAGACATTAAACCTGGAAAATGATAGAAATTGGTTCAGAAGTAAATAAATGGTACTGATGTTATGATGAATGTTGTTGACCGTACACATGTCATTTACATAATTTGAAATGCCTATTTAATGAGTCTGAACTCATCACATGCCGTTGAATATATAATTTTTCAATATAGGGATCACAACCAGAGAATCGTGTTTGTGGAGCTTGGTTTGTTTAGGCTAGCAATAGTAGATGAGCTTCAAATGAGTTATTTGCTAGTTGATTTGGAGGTTCTAAGTTGCTACTTGGTTCACGTGGCAGCTTTAAGTCCGGTGAATATCGTGCTTCTTTTTTGTGGATGGTTACTCTAGCATTATGGCTTTGGCTGATATTATTGCTGGCTTTCCCTGATAAGATTTATCTGGCAAACTTGTCGAAAAGAATCTGAGGGAATATCTTTGTCAAGGGTGGAAGTACTCCCAACAGGTTCTAGATTCACTTAGATAAAGGAAGACAGGTGGAGCCAAAGAATCATGTTCGGTAGGTTATAGATATTTAACATAAGAGATAGAAGACTTCTCATTGACATTGTAGGAGCATAAACTAAGTATGGTGCTTGCACATGTCATGATGCTTCCACACGAAAGCAACAGACCCTTGCTGATGTGATGGGTTTTACATCGATCGCACTGACGCCATTGTGTTGCGTGAAGCTCGAGAGTCAACAAATGCACAAATGGGAGCCACTATCCTCGCGTCCTCCTGACCTACCCCTACCTCCTGAATGGATAACCCATTTGAAAGATGATAGTTCACAGGGCAGCTGGGATATAGCTGCTGAATTGGTTGGTGGTTACCAACTCCATTAAGTTGTTCTCACCATAAAGGAGCTTAACAGCCCCATGGTTATTGACTTAATCTTTTTTCTGAATTCTACCGAACAAAGCCTTACACCAACTCTCTAGGTTTGGATTCAGTTTTTTTATATGATTATTCTTTTCGCAACTAGAGGTCAAATGTCATCACAGCCTCAACCAGTTGTGGTCTATCTGTTGTCGTACACGAGCTTTATACTTGAACTATTACTGATCAGTGCCATGATGGATTTATGTTGCGGATAACTAAGCAATGTTTTTCAACTTTATCATGATTTCTTCCTCATGAATAACATCTCCATTTCTTGATAAAAGCCTTTTTTTCCCCTAATTGTATGGCCTCCTCATGTTTCTACCTAGTCTCATGACTTCTGATTTCAACTGTGCTTGTTAAATGGATCCAACTGTTTTTAGACTACATTATCTTAGCATCACTTCTAATTTTTCCTGTTGTTTTGACTTGTTTGTGCCATTCTCTCTCTCTTCCCCTGGGGCCGAAATTTCAATAGGTATGGGTATATCCCTCTTTCAGTTATACTCCATGATCTTATTTTGTGGACTGCCTCCTCCTCAGTCACCCCTATGGTATTAATGATAATCATGATAGGGTCGAGGCAACATAAAAAGGTGGCCTTTTTTATTCTGTCCTCCATACTCAGTATCCGTCTTTGCTACTCCCTTGTTATCTCTCGATTTTACTAAAACTTTTATGCATAATTTTAGTCTAATATCTTGAGCTGTTCTAAAGCAACATTCTGTGCATTCTTGTCTGGCCAACCCTTCTAGTGCATCTAATGAGGATTGTAGAGGAATTGGATAAAAGCTTCGGATTAAAGATGTGCTTCTGGATTATTGATTTTAGGACTATCTTACATTAGATTCAAGATTCTAAGGTAGGATTAAATATGATTTTTTAGTTACTATTATAGAGAGAAGCTGATGTTTGTGTATTTATTTGGACTGCCTATATATGACATGTGTAATGGATGGATCAGTTTTTAAACATTAAAGATAATAAAGGTTGAATCGTTCCCATTCAGATTTCTCACTCTTCTCTCATATTTTTCCATCTGATTTATCAGTGTCATTTTATCACTCATGGACCACCTATTTGACCTTTCTCATACTTTATAAAAATTGGATACTTTGCAGTTCCTATTTTTTAATCTATGTACCCTATGTTATGTCTTTGACCGTGTAAGAAGGTTCTTGGTAGGATTGGCCATGGGTTGCATTGGGCCGGGCTACATATGAATCAACCTTCAAAAACTAATCTTAGTGGGCGGGCTTGGAGTGGGTTGGCCCGATTCTCAGTCTAGATCATCAGGCGCAGGCGCAACCTTTGGCCAATTTCCTGGCAGATGCCCTGCATATGGGCCCCACCATTTGTTAATTTAAGAACCAAAATTCTGACCCAGGCTTGGATTTTCTGAGCTAGGCTGCTCGGGCCACGTTCATGTGTAGTTCTCGGTGTGTAGTTCTTCTCTGTCCTTCCATAACTGTCTAGGAACATATTGAGTCTCCTCCTTGTCAGCCCAAAGTTTGAAACAGTACAAAGCAAAGTTGCAATTATTATTCCAAGTGCTATTCTGTCTGATCAGCTGCAGAAAATTACCAGTCACTTTCACCCCCATCACTCATTAGGCGAAAAATGTAAATAAGTACCAACCAAAAATCTCAGTAGCACAAACTAAATGTGCAAGGCAATGGACAAGAAATAACTTTCATTTCCATGCCCACATGGTGCTTAAGCTCACTCCCCACTCCGCTAGTTATTTAATGCCAGGAAATGAAATAATCATGGTCCACTGATTTAGCACTCATGAATAATGTCTTTGTTTATTAGATCATGTTTCCTACGCAATGTTTTTGGAATGGACAAAGCAGTCCAAACTGAAATTCGATGGCTTATTTGTCTTACTGAATCAGATCGAATGAGTTGACTTGGAAGTTGGACCTATGGACTGAGCTTGGTTTGAACTGCGATTTGGTTGGATGTTGGGGTTAAATTCAAGTGGGGTCCCTTGTGATGGATTGAGTTGAAATTTGATTGTGTTCGTGAGGTTGCATCAGTTAACATCATACAAAGTAATCTTTTCTTGAACTCATTTTTGGAGACCTTTTGTTGTCTCTGTTAATTTTTGGGGTGCAGAAAGGCTTGTAAATTGGTGCGTGGAGATCATAAAGGGAAGTTTTTCATTATCTTTCCTTGCATATATCAAATAAAGCACGACTTCCTTGGGAGTTACATTTCTACTTATTTCCCCTTAATATATCATGGATTTTTCAGCTTAGAAGAGAGTTTTGTAGAAGTTATGAACTTATAATTTCATTATCTTTATTTGTTCTCTTTTTTATGTGAAGTTGTGAATGCACAATTGCCTAGTGTCTTCCGATAGAAACTTGTGGTTTTGGTGGGCGAAGCTAGCATCATCTAGACACCAATACCTATGAGACGGGCTGACAAAAGTGCATTATTTAAAAGTGGTGTGTTACTTCCTACCAGATGTCAAAATAATTCTTTTGGGTTAAAAATACCATGAGCTGGAGAAACACTTCAAGCAGCATCCATGAGTTAAAATCATTCATTAGGCTGTTGTCTAGTCATCATTTTGGAGGGCTTCAGCCCAGCACCATGCTTCTGCTCGGTGTTAATGCCTTAAAGTTCCATGTTATAAAGATCACCTTCTATGTACACAAATGATAATGTTAAAAAAAAAAAAAAAAAGATACACAAACAATGTTCTTTACCCTTTAACCATCTCCCTTGTTATAAATCAACGTGGTCATCAACTTCTTTGATCTCTTTCTTGCTTGGATGTTGAGCCCTTCTCCCTAATCTTATGGGTACCTAGTCCTTTAACTCAACCTGCTTTCAATACCCATTGTGGCATCTTCCTCCATTTTACTAACTGACACTCTGAGGTTGGAGTATCCTCCCAAATATTGCCCATAACCAATTCAGATGCCACATGACCACACATAGATATTCCTCCCGTTATGGAAGATCATGGCTAATGGAGAACAGTTAGTAGGATCTGTTCCCCTATCCTCACTTTCACATTCTACTTGGTGCACTGATACTGCTCACTGGATATCCATTACAACCCTGGACCGATTCTGCCACTATACTAACTCCAAACTTCTCCTTTGAATGTATACATTTTCTCCTGCAAGTGTTTAAATAGGAGTCTGAACCCAAATGTAAAACTAGATGCACCAAGATTCTTCTCAATTGAGCAATGCATCGTCTATATCTTAATTATGCTGCAGTTTCAATACCTGATTTAGGAAACATGGCCCTCTCAATCTAGTCTAGGGCCAATCTTCTATTATGCTGAAGTGTTTTTCTGTCACTGTTCAACTTAATTTTTGATTCATCTCATTCTTGCTCCTGCTAATTTATGCTGCATTTTGAAAACTTCCTATTTTTGGAAACTAAAAAAATTGACTGGTCAATTTAATTTCTGATTACTTGCTTCTCGATCTCAGAGTTGTAATTTTATTATTGTTTTATTTTGTTTTTAATTATTTATTTATTTTCTCTTCTTGAACCTTCTGTTTGGATTCTTCATACACCGGCTTTTGAAATGACTAAGCAAAATAAGTGCCATATTCATAGAAAAGGTATTCTCCTGCTGATTTCTTGAGCAATACTCATGGTGTTCGGAGAGAAAACCGAGAGAAAACCAATCTTAGAGTGGATTCTGCCTTGCTCTCAGCCACATCAAGAAATACGACAAGGCTCTGGGATTGCTTTTAATTTATAACTACCTGTTGTCTCCTCTGGCCGCCTTCCCACTCTTGGGATGTTATACCTATTGTTACTTATGCTGGAAAATGGACCCTGGCTGTGCATCTAAAACTTGTGTCAACTGTCAACTAACTGATGCAATATATCCATTCAAACTTGTACAAGATCAGAACTTGGTCAGATAGTAGTTCCAGTTTACGTCCTTGATGTATACCAATTAATTTTTATCACAGCTCTGTATTGATCTTGCTTAAGGTCTTAGTCCTCTCCTGTTTAACGTCTTTATGACATGTTGCTGAAATTACTCTATTTGCCTTGTAGGTCCCCAAGGATCATTTCTCATTCTCCAGAACGAGGGGGACAACTTTCTTAATGTGAGGGTTACAATCCTTCCTGTAAATGATATCTTTGAGGCGATAGAACTATCAGGACACCAAGTGAAGAAGGTACGGATCCATTGATTGTCAATTGTTCTTCTATTATCTAATACCAAACGAGTACATTTTAAAGGTGGAATACTAGGATTAGAAGTTGGGGTATTTTGTTTTCTTCAAGGAACTGAAGTATAAGAAATTATAAACAGTATTACAGCTTGTCTTTCTAAAGTGAGGCCGATTTCTCAGTCGGTCCAAAACCCTAAAATCCAGATTGCATTCTTCTGATTGCTCATGTTGCCTTCTTGTGTCAGGTCAATACCTCAGCAAATTCTGGAAGTTCATCGATTTCAATAAATGCGAATGGGAATTGTTTAATTCCCATTGGAGCTCCAGTAAAACAAGGCAACTTCTATCAGCAGTTTCCTTATGCCAGCTACGCAACCTCTGTTAACGGAGTTTATCTACTTTTTGCTACAGCTCTGATTATTGGGGGAATATGGGCCTGCTGCAAGTTGGGGAGCAAGACACGGCATCTTGATGCAGTTCCCTACAAAGAACTTGAAATGGGGCAGCCAGAGTCCCGAATATCCATGAATGAGGAAACAGCTGAAGGTTGGGATCAAGATTGGGATGACGGTGACTGGGATGAGGAGAAGGCAGTGAAGCCAACAGGTGTAAATCATGTGGGAAATGGACTGGCAAATGGTCATACTTCCAGATCTTCTAATGCCAATGGATGGGGAAATGATTGGGATGATTAGGTGTTGTTCAGATAGATCATTCAATTGTCTTAAGAAGATAACAAAGGGAAAACCAAACCGAAAGGAAAGGAAAACACTCATAGAAGATTGGGAAAATTGCTTGAAAGACGGAGCTTGAGTCTTCAATTTTCACACTTTGTGCCACCCCTGCAAGGAGACCGCCTCAAAATTGGATGGCTGCAAACAATTTTGGTGTCTGTTAAACATGTTTGCTAACATTTTTGCAATACAAAGGCAATTTTTTCTGAGTTCATTACGCGTCCTATCATTCTCCTTTTGCTTGCTGAATGTGCTGAAATGTAGAGATTGTTTCCTACTCGTCGGATTTTTTCTTTTTTTCAGTGTGAGGCACGTAATGAACACACACCGTCGGTGTTTGGCATTGGGTCGATGACCTTGTGCTGGATAGAATCAGGCCAGTGGTCGGTTCACAGATGATTACTGGCTTGAAGGGGTGTCCATGAGCCAGATTACTCACGGGTCCCGTTATCTAGTTCGAAAATAAGCCTGAAACCCGATAGAACTGTTAGTTGTTCTGCCTGAGCCTAATATCCTTGAAAAGAAGACTTGAGTTTGCCTCCAAACCATTACCCGACCCGAGGCTTAGCCCAATAACCTGTTCGAAAAAATCCATTAAAAACCAGCCCATGAGCTCGCCCTTCCTTTCTTTGAAAAAAAATTATACTTATAAATCATTAAATTTGAAGTTTTAAAAATTTAGATACTATAAATAATGTATTTTTTTTTTTCATGTGTTAAACATATAAGTTTTAAAGGGTAGAGTAATTCGAATGATAGATAAGTGAGTAAATGTCAACCTAGTTGAAATGTATTCATTCTATTGGATGTAGTTCATCCCCTAATCAAAAATAAAAATATTCATTATTTTATTTTTATCTATTTTAACTTTACGTTTGATTTAAAAATATAATTTACACAATATTAAGTTATAAAAATATTAATTATTTTTAAATAAAATTGTATATAAAAAAGTCCGCGAGTAGGTCCATCTAGCAATCCCGCCCAATAGGTTTATTGGTTGGGCTGTGAGTAACCTATCCCTACCCGAACCCGTCTCATCCTGTCGGAAAACTTTATTTGATAAGGGTTTGAACTTATACTACTCAAGCTCGGCCCAAAAAATTATTAAAGGCCTAGCCTGGCCGGTCCATAAACACCCCTACTAGTTTGTGTGACTGATTAGAGTTGCCATCAATTCCGGTTTAGTCCTGGCTAATGAAGTATAGCGTTTATTGGTCTTGACTATGGATTTCCAATGGCCTAGTTCGTCTTTTAAAACTTGAAATGTCTAGGACAAGAAAAAAAAAAAAATTAAAAAAGGGAGATTCAGAGAACTAGAAGTAAGAATGTGTTTTACTTGTAGTAATAGCACTTCTTCTCATAAACAGTTTAATTGGTTATACCAATTAGGAGTCACAATTTCCAGCACAACACGAAAATACGATTCAAAATTGATACGAAATTGTCAAGTTTGGATTAATTATTTATCAACATGAACCCGTAAATTACCTGACCTATTATATGTTTATTAACTCAAAATTTTAATTTATAGAAAATATAAGAGTATAAATTCAATTAAGTAATAATATAATCTTGAGGTTAAATTCTTTATCCACGGGTTATATGAGTCGCAACGAACATAATACAAAAATAAACAAGTAAGGTATACACGACGCGATTAATTAAATGAGTTGAGTTAAGATTAACTAGTGCTTGACATGAACCCATAATAACACGACATTACATGATTATCATCTAGCGTGTCAATTTTGGATTGGATTCATAGTGTTAAAGTGTCCAGTGAAAAATTAGCCCTTTTGATTTCTCTTCCTAATAGTGCTTCAAAAATAAGATCACTCTGTCTCTCTCTCTGGTCTGTTCTTTTTTTTTTTAGTACATAAGGAAAAGCTGTGTTGGAAATCACAGTGATTTTTTTCTTCTATGGCATTGGAGTCACATCCGCTTCTTCTATCCAAACCACCTTGACCTAAACTAACTCACCCAAAGGAGACCAAGAATACACACAACCCCACAGCAACACCCCCCCCCCCCCAATCCCCTCCCATCCCCCATGTGCGTAACCAAAGTGGGCTTTTTTTCTGAAAGGGGTGCACTGTCCTCTCTCATCGGTAGCTCTCATTACTCCACTACTCTGTGCTTAACAAAAGTTCATGGATATAATTTTGTCTCACTAAAGCAGAGACAAGAAAAAAAGTTGGGAGTTGTGCGTACAGAATAATCTATGTTCTAATGGCACTTTCTCTTTTTATTGCAAGAATGCTTTCGATTCTTTTGATTCACTTTATCTTTCCAAAGAATGCATGATAAAGTTTTTTCTGACTTTTTGACTCACTGCTACCCCCACCCCTTCTTTATCCGTGCATAACATAATACATTAGCTTCGAGTTACATTTGAGGTTAACTTTTGAATACTACATTAGCTAACAATTACCATGTAAGGTTAAAATTTGAATATTTTATGTGCATGAGAACGATACGTAGTTTCAAAAATGTTATCCAGTTAATGTTTTATTTCAGGGGTTCTACAACACTGAGTCCAAATTGTCTAACACATAAATGCAGCCACACGATGAGGATCGCGTGGCCAACAAACCACCACATTGCTGTTCGCTTGCGAGTTACGACACCATGCATCATGATATTAATAGAGTGACTTCAACAAAGGTCAGTGAACTCTATTAGTAGGACAATAACAAGAGACACTATGGTTTAGCACTCCCAGGATTAAATAAAGAACAGGGGATTTCTTTGTTAATTTCAATGATCAAGAGTGCTTGATAACCCATACCTAGAGGATAATCAAGTTAATTAAAGACCCATGTGCTCGTTGATGATGAAAAGGCCAATGGGTTAGGTTTCTCTTGGCCCCAACACCAGCATATTAACTCATGTCCGACAGCATTAGGGACAACTCATTCTTGGTACCTATGCACATGGCCTTAAAAAGATTTAGAAAGAAACACCACCACTAAAATCCCACAGGACGAACCCTTTGTTCAAGGACAGTTATGCCCATGCTAAAGAAATCTATCTTAATCTGGTTTAATTTGTCTTTTAGTAATTTAGAAGTTTCAAGTTCAATCTATTTCCACACTCCCTAAGGGCTAGTTACCCTTGTCTATTTGGAGACATGCTCTACTTCTAGACTAGTTCAAACTTGCTGCGTTAAAAAAAAAAAAAAACCTGATGGTGAACATCAAGAACCAAAGACCTGATGGTTCTACAGCTTCTAACTGCTTGAAGGATGAGTGCCACACATTTAGCTCAAGTACAGGGAGGTTTGAGGTGTTTCTGCCCCATATATGCAAATATATGGCTTTGTGTGCGTTCTATGGACAACCCGAGACTTTAACCATTGTGGTGTCTGAAAAGATTAGATGTAACTTTATTTATGTATATAGAGACTATTTCGGTAATTCAAGTCCATGATTTTTAAGTGGAATAGGGAACACATATATAATATAAAACATAATAATGAAACATGAAGAAGAAGGAAAAGGAGGACCGATGTGAGTTGTAGCCACTGTAGGTGTAATTTAAGGTTCCTCAATGAACATGAATATGGCTAAAAGAAAGGAAACAAAACATACATTTAAAGAAGTAGATGACTAGAACCTAAAGACATGGGTGGCAAGGTAAACAAAGATTGCTTCTCTTCCAACAGCATCATATTCCATAGTATTTTCTTTCCATTTCCTCAACCCTTTTCTTTCTTTAATCAACCTGTCCTTTTCCCTTTGTTTTGCCTTCGCTTTGTATTATTCTATTCAACACGTAGATTACTTGCCTCACAGTAGGTGCAAAGAATCTTTGAGGCCCCTGTGACTATCAAGTCACTTTTGACTTGCCAAAATGTATTTTAATCTCTTCACAATTGCTATCATTGAGGGGATACATTTTTTTAAAGAGGAGAAAAGGCCTTCTCTCTCTGGACCATTGGAGCCAGCTCAAAATTTTCCCTTTCTTAACTATAGGAAAGTACAGTTTCAGTGGGGTTAAATCGTTTTCACTTTCTTATAGTCTTCATGTAAAGAGTTATAGCATATAAGAAAGGCTTGTCCAAAGTGATAAATTTGTCATCTTGTTTTTTTTTTTTTAATGGTTAGGGATATTTAGGCTAACTTACATGCATCCACTTCGAGACTAGAGTATTCATGAGAGATAAATCTTTCATGACCTGACAAAAAATATTGTTAAAATTCAAATTCAGAATATTTGAATTTACAACTTATTCTTTCTACCATGAGTTTTTCTCCGTGCGCCCTATTGTCACATCATGATGGGTGCCACTCGAGCTAACTTTTAGTGATGCACCCACTATCTTCCAAGTTTCTATTCCTTGTAATAAGAGCTAAGGGTAGCACTCGCATGGCCGAAGAAATCATTCCACCACCAATTTCGATTGAAGTTATTTGTAGTCATTGATGTGTAATAAAATAAAAAGGTTTTGACACGGATCACTCTTTCATTGAGAGAGAGAGAGAGAGAGAGAGAGAGTTCAATATCAAAAAATAATTTTCCAATACTGTATGTAACGTTACCCTAAAACACAACAAAATGTCAGTGAAAAAAACATGATTTTCAATCAGAAGTCAAAACTAGCATCAATTATTAGTCAGGAACAAAGCAATATGAAGAAATAGAGGTAGATAAGGACCAAGAGATGGGAAATAATATCCAAAAAGGGTCCCAAACTGGAACCCGGTGAAAAAGAATCCGGTAATTAACCTTGAACACATAAGACATTGCAAACATGATCTAAACAAAAGATGAAACAAAAGAACAAGGGTGACAAAAAGAAAAGACAAGAAAAATTCCAACAATCAAATCTCATTTCTCTCTAGAACCTAATTAACCAACCGGATTCTTCTTCGCCGGATGAGCCACTGCTAATCCATTTTTCACAATCTCTAGATGTTTTTGTTAAAGTCATACCAATTCCTCATGCCCTTCTAAAGGGCATCTGATGAGTTCCAATATGTTAATTACCTCCACCATGTCTGGCCGGTTTGAAGGCACCTGTGATGTGCAGATTAAACCCAACTTCATTACTGGTATCGCCTCGTCTGCTGGAAACTTGCCCTGCAGCCTACTATCGACACATTCCTCCACCTTTCCTTCTTCCAGTGCTCCTCTGACCATGTCACACAGCACCACCACGTCATCCTCCATGTACTCAACAGGCCTCCTTCCTGTAACAATCTCCATAACCAAAACCCCAAACCCGTAAACATCACATTTCTCAGTTATCTTCACTGTTCGGCATGCAAATTCAGGAGCCATGTAGCCAAGTGCACTCTGAATCTTGCTACTTAAAACATAACGATCAAGCATTGGCAACAGCCTTGCTAGGCCAAAATCTCCAACTTTGGGTTCCCCTGAACTGTCAATCAGGATATTGCTTGATTTTAGATTGTAGTGGATTATGTTCATTTGATGCAAGTGAGCCAAACCCTTGGCTATCCCAAGAATAACACTAAACCGCTCTTTCCACGATAGGGAGTTTCCACCAGATTGATCATGGAGATGTTTACACAAGTTTCCACCAGACACAAATTCACATATGAGGAGCTGTAGTGAAGAGGTCCAGTAATACCCTTCGAGTGACACAAGATTATGATGGCGAAGTTTTCCCAATTTCTTGACTTCCCTCTCGAAGTCGTCCTGGGACTTGACAAGACTTGAGACAGTGAGCTTCTTGATCGCAACAGGTCGCCCGTCTTTGAGAATAGTCCGGTAGACTGCTCCAAATCCACCACGACCAAGCTCACAATCCTTGTTAAGCAGGGCATGTGTTCCTGTGCTGAAGTCATGTTCGGCAGAGAACATTACAAGCTTGCCAGATTTGGCATCTGTACTGGGGGAATGGCTAAAATCATCACCACCAGATAGTGTAAGAGCAACTGCCGAACGGGATGTGGAAGACCGGACACGAAGGTTGAGAACAGTGATGGCAATCACACCAATGACAATCACGGCAGCTGCACCGATGGCAATGAGAGCAGATATGCTAAGGATTTTTTTCTCATGGCCGAGACTTTGGGGGATGGAGCCTGGAGTGGAATCAGTAGAGTTAGGATTAAGGACAATTGGTTTGGGAAGGACGGTAGGGCAACTCTTATCGACTGCAGCGCCACAAAGAGACGGATTGCCTGAGACAGATGAGGGAGAAATGGTGTTGAAGAAACCACCAGCTGGTAGTTCACCTTGTAGCTGATTGTGCGAAATGTTAAAGGAGAGGAGGTGGGCAAGATTTGCCAGCTGCTTTGGTAAGGTCCCACTGAGTTCGTTAAAAGAAAAGTCTAAATTTTGAAGGTAGGTCAGTTTTGCTAAGGCTGCTGGCATTGGGCCAGTTAGGTTGTTCCATGACATAATCCTGCAAAATTAAAAAAAGAAAATAAAATATGTTGGAGAATTTTTTTTTTCCATTCTATAATTGATCAGTGATAACTGACAAGCAACAAATCAACAGAGACTAAGCCAAATTTAAGCACCAAGCAAATACATCCACAAGAAGTAACAGAAGTCTACTATTTGTTCCTTTTCTTTCGTTTTCCTTGAAGCAGTACGCAATTATGAGATAGAGAACTGTGATATGGTACATGAAACAATTGTATGCAATTTAGATTGGAGTACAGACAGAAGGGAAACTGGCTCTCTTCAGAGTCAATGCACTGCTGGAGTACTGTTTTACATAGTCTAGGTCATAGATAATTGTAGAACCCATCCCAAGCAGTATTGAACAATAACCAAAAACCAACTGCACCTAATTTTGAAACTGAAATATTAGTGAAGTAAAAATGTTAATGCAACTAAGAGGCCAAATGAAAACAGTTTACACAGCCATTTGGATAGCCAATTATAGACTACTAATAAGTAGTCAGACTCAGCTCAAACTGTTTGATATCTGAAAAGAGAAATTTCATCCAAAGCTCAACACTCTACGAAGAGAGAAAACAATAAGAAAGCATAAACAAAGCATATAGCCAAGCAAAAAAAGAACTTACAGAGATGTTAATGAAGAACAGTTCTCAATTGAAGTTGGAATTTTCCCCCCTAATGAGTTCTTGTGTAGTCTCAATTCCTTCAGAGATGTAGCTCCCCCAATTTCCAAAGGAATGCTCTCAAGCAACCGATTCTCACTTAAATCCAGAATATCCAAGGCCTTCAATTCTCCAATACTTGATGGGATACCACCTGTTAGTGAATTCCTAGACAAATTTAAGAATTGCAAGCTGCTAAAATCCCCAACAGAAGATGGAATTTCACCAGATAGCGCATTGTGGGATATATCCAAAACTTGAAGCTTTATAAGAGAGTTTTCGATTGATGAAGCAAAAGCCCCATCTAGTCCCCCACTTAGTCTATTCTCTGAAAACAGAACTTTCTGTAAACCCAATTTAAATAGCCAAGAAGGAACATTACCAGTCAACAAATTCTGACTTGCATCCAAAGCGAGTAGGTTTTCGCAATTGATCATAGATTCTGGCAAGCTTCCAGTAAAAGCATTCATGGAAATGTTTAGTACCTTCAAGGACTGAAGCTTCCCAATTGAATTTGGAAACTGGCCGGAGAAGCTGTTTTCAGAAAGATCCAGAGTCTCTAGGCTTCTCATTTCTCCAATCCATTGAGGAACTTCACCCATAAACGAATTTTTTCGCAAATTTAGATCATTACACAATGTAAGCTTCTGCATGGTATTGGGAAGGCCCCCAGAAAGTAAATTCTCACTCAAATCAACTGATCTCAACAGCAAACACCCTCCAATCCCATCCGGAATCTGACCCGTAAACTGGTTTTTCCTCAAGTTTATTGTTCTCAAGTTGTTTGAATCTTCAAGACCCTTGGGCATCTCACCCCCTAGCAAATTATCAGACAAATCAAGCGATCTAAGACCATGTGAAGACCAGATCCCAGAAGGCAACAAACCTGAAAACTGATTGGAGGAAAAGTTAACTGAAGCAAGGGTTGTACATGAGCTCAAATTCTCAGGAATTTGGCCTGAAAACTTGTTATTGGCCAAAGATATAGACCTTAATGACCCACATTGTGTGAAAAAGTCATCCGGGACAGTTCCAGATAGGCTGTTCTCACTCAAGTCTATGACCCTTAGGTTTGTGAGTTGTGCAAGACTGAGGCTTATGCTTCCTGTAAGATTGTTCTTAGCAAGCGAAAGCTTTCGGAGAAAGTGCAGTTGGAGGAGACCTCGGCCTATTTTTCCTGATAGTGAGAACCCATCGAGGACAACATCGAAGACCCTGTTGGATCTTGGATTGCATTTGACTCCATTCCAATTACAAGGACTATCATCCTCTTCATTCCAAGACACCAATCTTCCTTCTGGATCTTGAATGTCAGCTTTGAACACAATCAACCCCAGAACATCATCATTCAAAGAAGGATTCAAAGATCTCGCCAAAATCGGAGCTAAGAATAACAAAGCTAAAGCACCGAACAGCATTTTCATATTTCCAATCCTCAATTGCCCTTCTTATGCTTCCATATAAAAGCTTAAAACCCAGAAAAGCAAATGAAATATAGAGTCTATAAGTGAATGTATCTAAGTGAAAGCAAATAGTAATGGAGTCTAAATGGCTCCAATCATGATGGAACGGTGGAACAAAGGCTCCTGTTCTAGAGAGAAGTGAGAGAGTTTCGTGACTATAATTTTGCAAAGGACTTCACACGGTTGGTTTAGCAACAAACTCGAGTAAGAGAGACCAATCCAGGTGAAAATACAGGCGAACCGAACTAAAGAGACAACCTACCAACTTCAACTGCGCTGATCACTGATTTTGAACTTTTTCCAGTCCTCAAACCGAAACTTCACTGTATACCAACACTGCCTAAACACCGTTAAGTATACATATCATGCACAACTATATCAGCATACATGTATATATATATCGCCTTTGGCTAGAATTTGCGAAATAAACAGCTGCCACAGAAAATGTGACTGAATCTCAGAAACCTATAATAAAACATAACAAAACAGCCACATTAGCTATGAAAAACCCTAGAAATCAAAAGCGAAAGAAAGAGAAAAAAACAACGAAAACGAGACTAAGCCAAAGTACGGATCTTTACAAGGTAAAAACCTTTGAAATTTCTTTTAGAAGAGCCGATTAGAGCCTCGAGCTACCTCACAGAGTCGAAGAAACTTCTGAAAACGAACAGCAATGACAGAGTTTAATCCGAGAAACAACAAAATGTGAGCTCAGTACTCGCCGGTTAATCGAATCTCCGGCGCCGGTGAAGAACCTGGGCTTATAGGGCGTAGTAACCGGAAAAGTAGCCGGGAAAAGTGGGGAGAGAAACTTCCGGTGGATGTCAGTCAGTGAAGCATTTAATGCTCTCTCTCACTCTCTCTCTCTCTCTCTCTGCGTCTGAGGCTGAGACAGGAGGAGGGAGTAATGAAGCAATGACTTTTTATTAACGGCAAAAAGATGGAGAGGGGGTGGGGCCCGCGGAGGCTCTTTATGAAGTTGGACACGTGGAGGAACGAAGTGGTGGAGGGGGTATTCTGATGTGGCATACACGTAGTCAGTGTCAGAGATGCTTTCTGACGTGGATGGCACAATTGGCAGTGTTTTTAGGCCAAGTGGGAGTAGAGTATTACAAAAAACAATACTTACCAACCTACCTCTGTATTTTGATAAAATTACCACCATGCAAGGAATATTTTCTATATAAGTGGCGTGAAAATATGAAAAAACTATAAATATAGATTATTATATAAAGCAAATAAAATTAAAAAATAACTGTAATTGGAAAGAATTAAAAATAATAAATAATAAATAAACTCGACAGGGGAAAGAGCAATAAAAGAGGGTAGGTGGACAACAGAAATAGGTTGGGGGTGGTGGTGTAATAAATAAAAGAAATGGGTATGTGATTACTGGTGTGGTCACTGTGGTGCAGACTGCAGAGGGAGCAGGGCTTTTTGCTTTATTAAAAGCTTTTCTTTTTTAAAATTCCATTGAAGCCAATGGCAATGTGGGGTCTCCCATCCTCCTCCTTCTTCTCCTTTTTCACGTTTATCTAGGGTTCTTCCTAATTAATGCATCCATTTGACTCTTATCTCTCCCACACATCTATAATATAAAAAAATACATCAATAAATATTTATAACGGTCTCAAATAAATTTATTATACAATTATCAACATTCCTTTCAATATTCACAAATAAATTTATTATACAATTATCAACATTCCTTTCAATATTCACGTTAAATTTTGTCTCTTCTAAATCTATTTATTCTTATTTATGTTGCACAGTTACACTGTCTCTTCAAATACAAATTACCGATTAAATATTTCACAAAAAAAAGAGTAGTACAATAGTTCTAAAATTTGACTGTTCATCGTCACCGACATTGTGCAGAACCTGTTTAGTGTCTCCAACAACTTCTTCACCGAAAATTTGAGATAATATTCTATTTTTTTTTTCATTCATTGATTATCTAGTTTTTTTTTTTCAAAAACCTGTGTAAGTTGATTCAAAAATAAAACCAAATCATAAAACCCTAATTTTGTGAAATTATATTAAGAATTTGTAAATCTATTATAGGATATGTATATGAAAAAAAATAATTTGGAACATGATTTTTTGGATTAAAAATAGTCACGTAACTATTTTAAGTAACTATTTAAAATTCAAATATAGAATTTTTTTATTCACAATGTCATGGGTTTAATTGTGTTGCGTAACTATTCTTCTGATTTTAATGATTCAATTCTTATAAGTCTCTTATTGAAGACTTTTTGGTTCATGATTTTTTTGATTAAAAATAGTTATGTAACTGTTTTAATTAACTCTTTGGGATCCAAATATAGACAGTTCATATTCAAAATTTTATTGGGTCTAACTGTGTTGCATTATTATTCTTCTGATTTTAAGGATTTAATTCTTATAAGTCTGTTATTGGCAACTTTATGGTTCATGATTTTTTTGATTAAAAATAATTACGTAACTATTTGAGATTCAAATATAGACAATTTATATTCAAAATTTAATGGGTTTAACTGTATTGCGTAACTATTTTTATGATTTTAAGGATTCAATTTTTTTATTTGTTATCGATAACTTTATTGATTAACTGTTGAATAACTGTATCTTATTTGTGTTGTAACTGTCTTGAATATCTGGTATTGAATCAAACATATTGTTAACTGTCTTTTTGTCTCTGTGGATTAATTATTATTCACATTCTTAATAGAGGTAAGTTAAAACAGAGGCCAAACCAATTTCAATGTGGTATATATATGGCCATTTCAATGGGTTACCCAATTTAGATTTTGAGTATAATATCTTATCAAGGCTCAAACACAAGGAGCAATTCATCTTTTTCAACACAACAACATTGGTGCTGAAAAAAATATTTGTGCCTCAAACAAGTAATATTGGACAATTCATCTAAGAATTTAGTTTTACATTCATGAGAATGTTTTAATCTTTTCATTATAGTAACAATTCTTAATTCTATGAAAAAAGCTTAATAAATAGTGTCAAATGATCTTTAAACAGTGTCAAATGCCTTTGTGGTGACTTGAGCTCTTTGTATCTGAAAGCTCTTGGGGCTATAAAAATATTAATACAAATCAATTAATTAATTATCTACGTATTGAGAGAAAAACATAAAATAACAAAAATTTACAAATATACAGGATCTTCCAAAATAAATATTGGCTAGAAAATTGCACACAATAGTATTTACATTAAAACATAACTCTAACTAAAAAATAGGTACACTCATTAAAAATCAAAACAATTTTTTTCCTTGTTCATCCTAAAAAATGAACAACAGATAACAATCTTTGATTAATAATCTAAGAATAAAATAAAACAGTTAACAAATAATGACATATTAACATTTTTTCGAAAACATACATTAATGTCAATACCCAAAAATAGTTACACCAATTTTAAAAACAGTTACACTCATTAAACCCAAAGCAGTATTTTTTTTTCCCATTCATTCCAACAACGACCAAACATACACAAAAAACGAACATATGAATTTTCTAAAAAAAAATGATTGAATTGTAGAAGAAATATAATTATTTTGTCTATATCAAAAATATTTACACCCATGAGAAATAGTTACACCCATTAAACCCAAAGCAACTTTTTTTTTCCATTCATTCCAACAATGACCAAACATACGCAAAAACGAACATATGAATTTCCCCCAAAAAAATGATTGAATTGTAGAAGAAATATAATTATTTTGCCTATACTAAAAATATTTACACCCATGAGAAACAAAAACACCTATTAAGATTAAAACAATTTTTTTTTCCTCCATTCCAACAAAAAACGAACATAAAACAAAAATCGAACAGAGCAATTTTCCAAAAAAAAAAGGATCAAAAAAAGAAAAAATATAATTATTAACGACTCACCTTCAATCCGATGACGATGATTAGTATTTGCAATTCCTTTTTCAAAGAAAATCACCGCTGAAAAAATAAATCGCCGTTGAAAAAGATTTATTTTGAATAAGACTTATCAGTTAAATACGTTGGAGAAAACTTATGTTGAAGAAGACATATCAGTTGAACACATACGTTTGATTAAAAAAAATAAAGATAACAAGTATGTAATCTTTAAATATTCGTTTACCAAAATAACTGTCAATTATGACTGCATAAAATAAGGAAGGGTCTTTTGAGTAAAAATTATTTTAATTTATTTGAATTTTGTACTTAAACATTAAAAATATTATAAAAATTATATTTAATAGAATAAATCATTTGCCCAATACACTTTTACTTAAATAAATATTAAAAACTGTACCCACACCTAAAAAAAACCCGTTTCAAATCATTAGTATTAGTATGGTACGTACCTCAATCAGTTCGAAAGCTACTTGTATTCCACATGTTTTGTTTTGAGCCCATTTTAGGTTCACAGGTCAGCCCAAACTAAAACTGTCGTTGCTATAGGATAATTCAATGGTCTAAATTCTTCCAAGCCCATAAACACTGGGCCGTCATCTGGTCTAATAGTCATACAGTCAGGATAGAATGGGGTCCCAGGTTTCCTTTAGGCCCGACCTTAGACCTGACCTACTGAATCAATTGCTTAGGTTTCGAGCCTTCAATTTTTTTTTTTTTAAATGTCATTTTTGTCCGTCGTGGTGGTGGGGCGGGGGGTTTATTTTCACCCTTTAAATCTCTTTTCCCACCATATTAATCATCTTAATTTAAACTATTAAGTTTATCCCATCTATACCTACCTCATTAGTTATTAAATTTGCCTCATCTATATTCACTAATTAAAAATTAAATTCATTCAATTTTATTTCAACCTATTATATAGACAATGATCAAAATTTTGTTTTGGTGTATCATTTCGGTACAAAAACATAATAAAAATTAATAAAAAATTAAATTATTTTTAAATTATTAGTCAAAATGTCTTAAAACACCTCAAAATATTCTAAAGACATAGTGAAAATATTT